ATTCAAGAGAATGTTCTGATATTTCGTAACTTAAAATATCATTTGCACACATCCTATTTAAAGCTAGCCATTCGTTGTAAAACGTGAAAATCCGATGATCGAATCAAAAGTTATTAAGCTGTCTGCTTTTTTATTACATGAGCAAAAAAAATAAGCGGACCTGAATAACTTTTAAGTTACGAAATCATACACCCAGACGTACTTTTCCCGAATAAACATACCTTTTCTTTTTTTCTCCTCCAGACGGATTTTTGACTCTCAAAATATCTGAGAAATAGGCTACCCCCCCATACTTTGATTCTTAGTTGGAAACCCCTTATCCGTCTCGAAAACTTTTTAAGGGAAATCTCTGCGCACACATTTATGAAATTCGTTTATCCAAAGATAATCGTAGCTTTTAGCATTTTTTAAAATTTTATTATCTTTTTTAACAATAGTCGAAAAAGTTTTTAATGGTAAGATATAAAAATTTTTTTATACATTTTAAAGAATGTATTTTTAAATGGCAAAATACAAAATGGGAGCAAAATCGATCGAATAGTTCCTGCGAAAACGAATTTTAAAAATACCGTCTCTTTCGAACTCGATGTTTTAATACATATCTGAAAGGAGAATGATCCTATTTTGAATTAATCCTTCAATAAAACCCACATTTATGGGTTAGAAAAAAGCTATGAATTGAAAATGAATTATTCATAATTATGATCATAGTAGTCAATATGTACATTCCGGGCATTAAAACAAAGAGATTTTGTGTAGTGAATCCTAATATTAGTAACGGACGACCGGCGGCGGCACCGATAAGCTCAAAACGTCGGCTAACCGCTAGAGTGGATTTGAGGGTCACTCAGAAAACGTTACTTTTAAAGCACTCCATTTATTTCTACTCTCCCCCCCTTCTTTTTTTAAAGCATTTTTGGATGAGACTGGGTTTTTTTTTTATTTGTTACTAAATGGAGATGGATCCGTGCCTTCTGGCGACATGCATGGAGGATACGCAGATTTGATCATCTGAGCTAGAATAATGTCACTTTTTCGGATGAAAGTGGGGAAGAACATTGATCCTTTTTTTTTAAAGGTATGAAATAACTTTTTTTGTTTTAAGTAAACGGCGAGTAAATAAGGAAAATGAACTCTTTTAACTTTCATTTAAAAACAGTAGAATTACTTTTAATGTTTTTTTTGTTTATTTAACGTAAGGGCTCAAAAAAAATATGAATACATTTAAAACTAAATAATGGTAAAATTATTCTAGTTTTTATGAGAAACGTGCAAGAAGGAAGTTGAAGGGAACTTCGACCTGCATGCATTCAGACTAAGAAAGCTTCCAAGCTATACAACAACAACAACAAAAAAGGGGGGGGGGCAGGGCTCGAAAAAACTCAGAAATTTTACCAGTCCCCGAGGACGGCTTGTCCAACAATGTACCCGCCCTCCTTTGAAACTAACCTGTCGCTTCTAAATAAATAAGAATATTATTTTTTCTTATTTATTACAAACATTTATATAAATTACACAATGAATTAGTAGCTACTAGGATTACATTATACAGTAATAAAAGAAATACTAGGTTACTAATAGTAAAACCTAGTATTTCTTTTATGAAATAATTTAAATGACAAAGGTCAAGTTATCTGGAATGTCAATTTATCCGAGGGTACTGCGTTTTTTAAATTAATCAAATATGGCGTTTCAAGCCTATGATTGCCAATCAAGCCTATGATTTACGGAGGTTTCTGTAAATCATAGGCTTAAAGGGAAATCAGAAGTCACAAGGGGGTTTTCCATTTAGGTACATGTTCGTAATTGCGTTTAACGCTTAGTCCCGCAGTGGACTCATCGTTAAGACACGGTTCCCAGCAGATCACCGAAGTCAAGCATTACTCACTACGGTCAGTGTGCGGGTGGGTGACCACTTGGATCAGTCTGCGTAGGGACCGAGGGTGTGCGGTGTTGGCTCTCGTAAAACTGTGCTACCGTAAAGTGCTCTACTTCGCGCAGGTCGTCGGGCTACCGAAGCGGGGGTGCATCCCCTCCGCAGAGGATCAAAATTGTGATGGCATGTCCTCGGATCATCCTCCGGGATGTTTCCCAGACCGTCGCCAATAGCCCATTGTGTAGCTCTAGTGCGACGTAAATTAACAACAACAGCGTTTAACGCTTACGTAATGTGTTTTTTTGTAAGTTCATTGCTGAAAAGTCCCTTTCAACTGCTGCAGTACTCCCAGACGGAAAAAACATCAATCCACCATGCGCAGTATGTTGCTGTACGGGATTTCTAGATTAGAGGGTCATTTTAGAAGTGAGGCGCTAGACTCTTGTAAGATAACAAAAATTGAAAGTGTATCACGAACATTAACGGGAAAACGACCGTCCGCGCGGACATCCGATTCGAGAAATTCGTTGTCCGCGGGAAATTTTTGACCACCGAGGAAGGGCGGTTTTTCGAGCCCTGGGGGGGGGGTGCTTTTATTTTTAATTCAAATTTTCTTTTCCTTATGAAATTAAATTGTACTCACTATTTGACTCCAGTAAAGTACTTCTAAATAAATTGGATGACGACGTCTTTAAGAATTAAAATACAGTCGGGCTTCTATTTAACGAACTGCCATTGTACGAATTTCTCCATTATGCGAATTTTTTCCGATGAACCAAGAACATTTTGGAAATTTCTTCGTAAAATAACTTCCAAATAGCGAAGTGAATTTTCTATTGAACGAACTTTTTCATTGAGATCCACTTTTGAGATCCACATTTCAAACTTGTTAACGCATTTTACGGCGGAAATGACCTGGAATTAAATTTCCAAACCACTTAACTTTTAGAGAGAGCAGTAAAATCTCTTTCCCTTTTTGTTTGCATTTCAAACGAAAAATCCGACAAAATCAATCGATTTTATCAGTAGCCATTAAACTTAAGAACGCATGTAATAATGTATGTTTAAAAGTGTTCGATTCTCGGGCCGGGCAAGGTTGTCTCAGCCTTTCATCCCTTCAGTGGGTCGATAAATGAGTACCAAGCATGCTTGGGAACTAAACACTGGGGGTTCCGGGTTCGGCCGAACACCTGACCGGAACATCTGCTCCTGCACCCCAGAAAACTGAGATGGGCACAGTAGGCCTTGGCCCTCTAGGGCTGTCGCGCCACTGAGTTTAATTTATTAAACTTAAGAACGCATGTTATAATGTATGTTTAAAATTACTTTGCAGTCATAATTTTATACATAAATTTAGCTTTTTTTAGTTGAAAAAGTATGTATCATGTAGTGTATAATGTTTTGCTCTATTCTTATGCACATTTCTTTTATGGTTAAGATTTATAAAATGAATAGTAGATACTAGTTTACAATATAAAGGTGTATCCAATGCTTGTTTTAATTATGTCTAGTGTTTATGAATTTAAAACCTGCTTTGTGTCGTTTAAGCATTTTTAAAGGTGATTTTCTATTTAGCGAATTTTCCCTATAACGAACTTATTACCGGAATTTATCAACTTCGTTAAATAGAGGTCCGATTGTATGTACTGAAGGAAGATCAACAATAACATTAATATATATATATATATTTATTTGAAGGGGAAAAAACTTATATATTTTTGGAAATTATAATTTTATGTACCTCAGCATAATTTCTGCTAAAATCCACTATGAAAAATAATTAAAAATGATGGATTCAGCTTTTAATAAATGCATATTTTTCCAGTTTTGTCTTTTTGACAATAATTTGGTGTTAAATGAAGAAAGAAAAAAAAAACGTGTTCATTGTAAAGCTGGTCGAAAACGTAATACTGTGATTTAAATATTTTTCTTCATTTAAAGAAAAGTATAGTTAATAAGTTTCACAACTAGGCTACTCATTTAAAATATGCGATCATTTTGATTCTATAGATGCTTGCAAAATAATAATAATAACAGGGTATTTGCTAAAATTTAGATTTTCAAAGCCATGATTTTTCATGAATAATTCCATGACTTGCCGAAGTGACTATTTTATCCGACAAAAACAAGACACTTTAGTGTCTTGTTTTTGTCGGATAAACATTATAAAAAGCATTATAATAACATTACATGGCATTATACATAAACATTATAAAAAGCATTATAATAACAAAAGCATTATAATAACATTCATTTAAAAAAGCATTATAATAACATTCATTTAAAAAAGCATTATAATAACATTCATGGAAATGATAGATATAACCAAAACTGTTGTACTCTGCATCTTCATATGTATTGATTTTCCACTTAAAAAAACAGAGAAAAAAAAAAGAGTTGAAGCAATAAAATAGCTGGGAAAAAAATACAAAAGCAAATAATTAAATACAGTCAGATATATGTTATTTAAATTTTTTTTTATTTCTTCTTAAAACTAAGTGTACTATAAAAAGTCTAAACTAGAATTTTAAATTGACAAAATAAAAAAGCAATAAACAAATAAAATAATTCTGAAATCAGGGCAGTTTAAAACCTAAATTTAAAAGATAATTCGCTCTAGAAATGATGTTCTTTCCTTCAATTTTTGAAAGAACACCCTAATTTTTAAAGAACAGGGTAAAAACATTTTATATTTTAATAAAATATGACTGTGAGTGGGGATTTTGTTACCAATTCAGATATTCGGAACACTGCAGTGGCGTAGTTTTAATGTATTTCCGAGGGGAAGTATCGGCTATCTCCTTCATATATATATTTATTCTAACCGTTTAAATTACAAAAAATGAAAACTTTTTTCATAAATATATCCTACTTACCGTACAACACTTCATTCATCAAGTAATATACATAACTTCAGAGGGGGTTTTGTCCCCCCAAAACTACTCCACTAGAACACTATGAAATTGGGAGGGGGTAAATTCCATTTTAAAAATGAGATTTTTCGGCGACCTAAATCCATGATTTTCTTTTAAAAAAATATTTATAATCATGATAAATTTTGTTCAATAGCGAAATCCATGACTCTCCATGTAAGCCTAATCAAAATTTCAATTCTTTTTTTCAGTTGTTGTGTTGTTTCCTCCTCCTGAGTGCGTGTGTTGTTGCAACAAATGGCCACCTCAACAGATTCAAAGTGGCTCGTCACAGAGTGGGTACTTCAAAATTCTCTCTGAATCCATTAAAGCCTTTCATCAATTTGATGAGGCCCGATCCAATGAAGGCAGCCGCCCAAAGGCATCATCCAAAATATCTACCTCCACCCCCTGGCATGTACCACCCTCCCATGCACCATCATCCAGCCAGAGCATCTTCTGTAGGCTATGGGATGCACCCATACCGACCCTATCCATCGCAGTACACTCGTTACCTACCCCCTTCCACCATGTCCCTTGTACCCCCCTTATCAGCAGCACCTTCCACTCTCATGTACTCCACTCTCATGAATGATCATCATCATCATTCATACAGACCTATGGCATCTGATCTGCAGATTAAGGCTGTGAGGATACCTTCCAAAAATCGCAGGCCGACAGCGGATTCTTTGAACATAGCGGACAGTGTCGTTCGCCAGTTGCTGGACTTCCCCCATCAGCAGCAGCAACAACCGCTGGACCAGAATTACCCGTCCGTTCTCGTCATTGAAGACCCGGACGTGACGTCCTCCAGCGCTCAAACCGAAATGGTGAGTGATTCGTTGTCACAATCCTCACCCAAACTGGTGATATCTCCACCCGTTCATGCAGATTTCGCATCTGACTCGTCCGTGGACTCTTCCAGCAGCGCGTCCAACAACCCGGAAGTATTCGTCATCGTGTCAAAAAATAAGAACAAAAATAATTATTACGTGGATGAGAAAAAATCGTCCGATATGATGACGTCTTCAGGTGGTTCCAAGTTAAAGAAATATAAAATAACGTCGGCTTATGACGAGAATGGTGGACGACAGGTTTGGATCATAAAGTGAAAAAGTCTTTTTGGATGTTTTAAATATGGAGTTGCTTGATGCAATTGTTTTATAAGAATCCCCTATGGGTGAACAAACATTCAGTACACTCCTGGTGAGAGGTGCTGCAAACATGAGAGGTGCTGGTACATTTCTACAAAAAGTTCATTCACTAGATAGGCCAACACAGCCAAAAATAAAAAAAATCTACAAATGTTTATGGAGTGAAAATTATAAGGAGATGAATATATTTAAATCTGAACATTAATCTTTATGGAGTATATTGGCAAACGACACAAGCAAAGTGAAGAGGACGCCATACCAAGGGAGAAACTCAACGTCGACAATTCTCTTTCACCTCCATTACTAATTTGAAATTTAAAAGTAAGCTCAGGCAATTCTAAAGTAAGCCATGAATTTTCAATGGCTGAAAAAATAATTTCAAAATGCAAGCAAATGATAGGAAGAGAAGTTTTCCTCGTCATTTATTTTCATTTTCAGAATTTTAAAAATTTCTTTTCAATGTTTGAATCTTTCTTTAAGTTAGCCTGAACTCACTTTATCTATACTTTAAATGAGTTATTGAGGTAAACGAGAGCTTGCGACGAAACGTTACTACCGCGGTGTCCTCTTAATAGTTTCGTTGGAGAAATAATTTCCTTTTTTATACAAAAAATGAATTAGCAAGAAAATTTTGGAACCATAACTTAAAATAGATATTTTTAAAGCAATTTCAAATTTAAAAAATCTAATTTTTTAAAAATACTTTTAAAAAAAGAAAGAAAATAGTTTATATAAGATTTTTTTTGCTTAAGAAATTTTTTGTGTAATTCCCTTTCATAGTTTTTGTTTATGACAATGTTGTAAATTTAACAAGTTGATAAATTATTGAACATCAAGTAATTAAGGATCATTAATAAAACAAATAATTAATAAGACAATTCAAAGTGAAAGTTTTTCTTTTTTTTAAAAATAAAAGTCATATTTTACTGAATTACAATGCATAACATAAGAAACTTTCTTTTAATTAAAATTTTTTACAGAAGAGATAATTCGAAATAATAAATTATAATTTAAATATAATTCTTTTTAATTGAAATGCATTTCTATTTAATCGATATAATTTAATTGAATGAAATAAAATTCCTTTATTACAAAAGTTTTCTTTATTTTATAAAACACATTCCCAAAAACTTTGTTAATACAATATGATGTGATAGATATTTTATTTTCCTTTCTTTTTTTTATCTTCAATAAGCTAAATTACATATTATTTCTTTGTTTCCATTGTATTGCACACCTTGTGAAGGTGCCAAACATTTTTATATTTATTTTGCTCAGTGCAATGAAATAAACAACTTATTTTTGTAGCAACATGTTTTATGTAAAACTGTTAAATGCTTTGAAGAAAATTTGTAAATTTTAATAAATATTTTTTTTAAATATAAAATAATGTTTATTTATATAGTTATAAAAGATATAATCATTTATTTTTATACCAACAAAAATGGGAAAAGAAACATAAAATTCATTTTAAGAATAAAAATTTTCTAAAAATAAAAATGCTAAACAAAAACATGACATCTAAAATCACAAAATAATTACAATATGTGTGACTTTTCAGATTGTGTTTTCTACTAAAAATGTATTTAGTTATTTTTTTTTTTTTTTAATTTTTCAAAATGAAAACAAAAAATTGACACATAATTTTTAAATAAAAAAATTTCTGCATTCACATTTCCATCAAGAATAAAGAAAACACCCTAAAACAGGGGTGATTGTGAGCCCAAGTCAAAGTTCCGGAAAAATTTCAAAAAAAAAAAGAAGTTTTAATTGAAAAATTAAAAAATAATTTAAACAAGTTTTTTTTCCCTTTTCTCAGTATTTCTTAGTTTGATTAAAATATATTTAAAATTTTACGCATACCTATACCATTTACACATACCTATGATGACCTGGAGAAGTAATTAATATTTACAAATATGTCTTTCTTTCTTGAGTTTATGATTATAACAACTATTTACTGATAAAAAATGAATATTAATCATGAATATAAGCTTATTAAGTATCTCTCTGGCTCTCCCTTACAAACAAATAAAATAAACTGTGTTTTTAAGTTCCACCTTTGAAAATTTGATTTCCGGAAACTTCTGTGATCAATGATTTTTTTAAAACATCTGGACCTTCGATCTCCAGAAACTTCCAGATCACTATGTGATCACCTCTGTTAGCAAAAATTCCGGAAATCCGGATTTTTTCCGGAGCACAATCAGCCCTGCTAAAAAGAAATTTAACACTGAACTTTTTGGAGTCATTAACAAGGTCTAGCTTTGTTTAGAAGAAATGAATAGCTCACCGATTGCATATTTCCACAAGAACGACCCACACATTATACGAATGACTTGTTTTTTTTCTTCCAATTCCTACTGTTATTTCACACTCTCCTTATATCGTATTAAAATTTTCAGTTGTCAAAATAATATTTTTTATTCATCCACTCAGAAGTTCAAATACAATTTTTAACACTTGTAGTGACGTTAACACGCTTTTTTCAAATATTAATTCCTTCATTAAATTTATTCAACTAAATTTAGTTTTATAGGGGAGAAAAAACTTTAATTATTTAATAAAAAAGTAACTAAAATAAAAATTTTCCTTGCTGACCTGAGTAGGAACTGACTTTTTTTTAATATTATTTGTTTTAAAAAAAGAAAATATTTCTTTTTTTTTTCTTCATTTTATTAGAAACAGTTAACTTAGTATAACCATATTATAATAATCACTGAATAAATACACTTTATGGGAGTCATTTATATCTTTACTGTCATTTATATCACTTCATCATCATTCATTTCTTTTTTTTTTTATCTCAACTCTATAAATTTCATTTTAAAAAAATCAACCTTAATTGAACTTTTCAAAACATCAGGTCGGGAATNACCCTATTGTACTTGCCTTTTGCCGTTATCCTACCTAGAATGCCAGCTTGCGGCCTTACGTTTGCCGTGAGGTGTGTGCTTACTGGGTATGTTGTTTTTTAAGAAAAAACTTTTCCCAGAAAAATTTATTTAAAAAACAAATTTAAAATAGATATTACAGAGTCCGTAGTCAAGTCTTTCAACAAAAAAATAAGCACCTTTTAGGTACTCAAAAAATATTTTTTTAAGTGCTATGTACATTAACAAAATACAAAATAATTTTCAAAGACTTTACATGATCATGATAAAATAACTAGTTTTTGACATAAAGAAATCCTTTCTTGATTATATTAGCCATCATAAAATAGATCGAAAGATTTTTTGGTTCGATATCAGAGTGTGGCAAATGGAGAATATCTTGCAAAATGTAGCAGAGTTGCACACGAGATTGAAATAATCTCACCGAACCCAGCTCAGCACCTTTAAGGGCTTTTAAAAAACGAAAATCAGCACCTCCAAACACTTTTTAAAAACGCTACGCACCATGTATGAATTAGAGGTCTAAATTTAAACCACTGACTTTTCTAAAGACTGATTTCAGTCCCGAGGACTGAAAAGTTGCAGTCATGAAAGTAGTTGTTGACCAACAGCCAGTTGATGGTCAAGGGAGGTTGAGACTTTCTTTTTAAGCTCCTGGGGAAAATTGAACAGAAATTCCACTGCCAGGCACTTCTCCTCTATTGAATAACCAGGGAGAAAACGTTTCTTTTTATGCAGGAAAGCTTGCAGCTAAAAATTCAGAAAAGGCCTGAACTATTACTCAGAGAGTTAAAACTATATAAAAATAAATTGGCTATATTCTAATTGAATTAAAAATAAATAAAACAAAAATACTCAAGAGAGAAAGAACCCTCTATTTTTTCAGTTTGCATGTTCATGGGATAAATGGCACTTTTTGGAAATCAATTTTTAATTTTAGAATAGTAATTAATAGAATCATAATTAAAAATTTTGCTCAATTATATACAGGAAAAGTTATTTTTAATTTTTTAGAAGAAAAAAAAATTACTCTTAAATAAGGTCAAAATATTTTACTTCGGCCAAATTTTTAAAATTGAATTGGCTTATGATAAAAACTATATTCTAATTCCGAACTTGCATTTCTTAATAAAATATGTAACTTTTTATTGCTCCAAAAGTTAAATTATCAAAACAACTTGTCAATTATACATAAGAAGCGTTAAACTATGCATACAAGAAAAAAAATACTTTCTGGCAGATTTTTATATTATTTTACTTAGGCCAATTTTCTTATAATAGGCATGTGATCAAAATTATTTTCTTACATTTTTATTTTAATTAAAATAAATAACTTTTTGTCACTTCAAGAATAAACTTGTCAGTTTGACATAAATCTCAGTAAATTATACATGCGTTAAAAAGATAATACTTTAAATTAAAAGCAGAATTTTCAATTTTTGTCCACTTTTCTTTATAAAGGACAGAAATCATTTTCTTATTCTTAAACTTAATATTTTAAGGAGCTTTTTATTGCTGAAAAGTTAAATTGATTAAAATAAACTTGTCAACTATACATAAAAAGTGTTAAATCTTACAAATGCACTTTAAAGGTGGGAGAATTATTTTTTCTAAAGCACAAGTTCAAAATGATTTTACAGATTCCTATTAGAACTTCTAATTCCCTTCATTGCCTAGGAGATAAATTATTTTGTATCAAAAGCTCATAAATATTGGCAAAAAAATTATCATAGAGAATGAAAAGCAGACTTTTCAAACATTTTAACATCAATTAACAGCAAACTTCGAGAAAGAATGCAAAACAAAAATATTAATAAAAACTACAAAATGGAAAAAATACATATTTTATTATAAAAATTCATTTGGTAACAAATGTTTTAACACACTCAAAACATTTTTTATATACATTAAGTAATATAAAAGAGAAAGTTTTTGATTTAAACAAAACCTTAACATTTCTTAAAATTATTTGATTTGTCATATTTATAGTCTTAATGGAATGTCTTTCAATTTAAAATTCTTAAAACTTATGCAGTATTTATGAACTTCTATAAAATATTTACAAAAAAACATTGAAAAATTGTATATATATACTTAATAACTACAGGGTATCTGCTACATTTTCAAATCCATGACTAATTCCAAGAGATTTTCATGACTTGACGAAGTTACTATTTTCTCCGACAAAAACAGAATAAATTTAAAAAATCATTCAAATAACGTTAATTGAAATGATAGGTATAACCAAAACTTATACTCTGCATCCTCATATTTATAGATTTTAAATTTAAAAAACAGAGTAAACAAAGAGTTGAAGCAATAAAATGGCTGAAAAAAATATAAAAGCAAATAATTTTCTTTCTTTCTTTTTTTCTGTAGAATTAATTCTAAAGATACTTTTCTTGTTCATCGAAAAGGAAAGAAATACTCCTGATTTTTCTGTACTCACTTCGGAATAAAAAAAATTTGCCAATGACTGGCTTGCTTCAGTCAGAATTTTAAATTTATAAAATGAAAAAAATAAATAATAAAAATTCTAAAATCACAGAAGTTTAAAAGATAATTTGCTCTAGAAATAATGTTTTTTCTTTCATTTTTTTAAAGAACACCATAATTTTTAAAGATCATGATAAAAACATTTTATATTCTAATAAAATATGACTGCAAGTGGGGATTTTATTACAAATTCAGATATTCGGAACACCATGAAATTGGGAGGGGGGAGGTAAATGCCATTTTAAAAATTAGATTTTTTGGCTGCCTTAATCCATGACTTTCCATGAATTTTTTTTCAAAAAAATAAAAATCATGACATTTCATGAGAAATTTTGCTCAGTGGCGAAATTCATGACTTCCCAGGTGCACAGATACCCTGTAATTAAAATCAACTCATTCAAGTAAGAGAGAAAAACTGTAAAACTATATAAATGTGTTTTAAGACATTAACAAAAATTTTGGTAATAAATAATTCTAAAAAATAGGGAAAAACTACATACTAAAAATATTAACCACAATAAATATTTATATGAGGCACTGTGACTATTCACCAATTTTTAAGACTAGTTGAAAAAGGAGGGTAAAGATAATATGCAAAACAGGTTTATTAAACTTGCATAAAAATACATATATAGTCAATGAATAATGATAGAAATGAAATCATGTGTATAAAGAAAATCTTTTTAACAATTTCAAAACCACTAAAATAAGAGAGACCATTTGCTGACCCTATAAATATTTACAACATTTTTTACTTTTATTGAAGAGTTACATACACTTCAAGAAGTGGTAAAAAAAAAATTCTTTGCACATAACTTTAAAGACTTAGAATTTATNTATTTAAAGTCTTAATGGAATGTCTTTCAATTTAAAATTCTTAAAACTTATGCAGTATTTATGAACTTCTATAAAATATTTACAAAAAAACATTGAAAAATTGTATATATACTAATACTAATTAAATAATAACTACAGGGTATCTGCTACATTTTGAATTTTCAAATCCATTACTAATTCCAAGAATTTTTCATGACTTGACGGAATAATAAATTTAACAAAACAGACTCCAACAAAAACAGAATAATAAATTTAAAAAATCATTAAAATAACGTTAATTGAAATGATAGGTATAACCAAAACTTATACTCTGCATCCTCATATTTATAGATTTTAAATTTAAAAAACAGAGTAAACAAAGAGTTGAAGCAATAAAATGGCTGAAAAAAATACAAAAGCAAATAATTTTCTTTCTGTCTTTTTTTTCTGTAGAATTAATTCTAAAGATACTTTTCTTGTTCATCAAAAAGGAAAGAAATACTCCTGATTTTTCTGTACTCATTTCAGAATAAAAAAAAAATTGCCAATGACTGTCTTGCTTCAGTCAGAATTTTAAACTGATAAAATGAAAAAAATAAATAATAAAAATTCTAAAATCACAGAAGTTTAAAAGATAATTCGCTCTAGAAATGATGTTTTTTCTTTCATTTTTTTTAAGAACACCATAAATTTTAAAGATCATGATAAAAACATTTTATATTCTAATAAAATATGACTGCAAGTGATGATTTCGTTATGAATTCAGATGTNAATTGGGAGGGGGGAGGTAAATGCCATTTCAAAAATTAGACTTTTTGGCTGCCTTAATCCATGACTTTCCATGAATTTTTTTTCAAAAAAATAAAAATCATGACATTTCATGAGAAATTTTGCTCAGTGGCGAAATTCATGACTTCCCAGGTGCACAGATACCCTGTAATTAAAATCAACTCATTCAAGTAAGAGAGAAAAACTGTAAAACTATATAAATGTGTTTTAAGACATTAACAAAAATTTTGGTAATAAATAATTCTAAAAAATAGGGAAAAACTACATACTAAAAATATTAACCACAATAAATATTTATATGAGGCACTGTGACTATTCACCAATTTTTAAGACTAGTTGAAAAAGGAGGGTAAAGATAATATGCAAAACAGGTTTATTAAACTTGCATAAAAATACATATATAGTCAATGAATAATGATAGAAATGAAATCATGTGTATAAAGAAAATCTTTTTAACAATTTCAAAACCACTAAAATAAGAGAGACCATTTGCTGACCCTATAAATATTTACAACATTTTAATTTTATTGAAGAGTTACATACACTTCAAGAAGTGGTAAAAAAAAATTCTTTGCACATAACTTTAAAGACTTAGAATTTGTTTTTAGAAAAGGGAAAAATCATTTATTTAATGACTTTCATATTAACTAAACATTTATTAAACAACCTTTTACCAGTTTTGCGGATTATGAATGTTACGGTAGCACTTTGTGATCTTTTAAAGATTGTCAACATTAAATAAAATAAAAACTCAAGAGTAATTTCTAAATTGCCTGAAATAAATAAAGGCAGAGATTTAATCAATGACCCATGGGTCAAAAGTGGCCACCAAAGCATTCTAGTTTGGCCCTGCATAAAGTATTATGCAACTCAATAAGATAAAGAAAAAACAATTACGATTTCAACATTCAAGAAACAGTCATCAATACTGATACTGGATTAGTAATGAATTCTGTTTTCTGAATAACAATGAAAGTTAACTTCCAGGACAAATGTAAATTTAAGTTATATTCTTTGCTTGATGCCTATAAATTTACCATAATTTACCTTGTAATCTAATAAGTATGTTTAGTTTTATTTACATTGTTTTTATTATCTACACAGGAGAAAAAGATCAATTATACATTTAAGTTTCAAACAGAATGTAGAGCAATTTTATGATTACATATTAATGTTGGCCCCCATAATTGAAAGTTTTTATGGTCGTGCATTCTTGATAAAGGTAATAACATAACTTTAAATTTATAGTCTATGAGTAAAATTATTAGCTACAGAGTAACACTGATATAAGTTATTTAGGGTTAAATAATTCCTAACATTAAATATTTCAGGTTTTCGATAGATTTTGATTGGACACATCTACTTAAAATTTTTAAAAAATTAACACGATAATATACGATAGTGCCGTCTGATCATCAATACTTTTGTTTGATACAAAGTACAATTTAAGTTAAGTTATAAAATACCATTTAAGTTGCAATTATCAAAACGTTCACTTGACAAAAAAGCTTTAAAATTTATTATTTCAAATTATATTAGTCATATGCTTGATTGTTTCAGTCGAAAAAAAATTTATTTACATAAATAAATACTTACACGAATTTAAGAATGTAATCACGTTTAAAAATAATAACTTCCAAGAAAAGCTCATACAATTCACTTTTGAACGAGAAATTTAACTTGCCTGAGAAATTTTAAAAAATGCTTAACGGTAGACTTTTGAGTCGATACTCATGACACAAATCACATATTATTTATAGATAAAAATTATAAAAAGGAAAGAAGCAGAGAAATTCTGGGAGGCGACAGCCTATAAAAGACTTTTGAAAATAACCAATCAAACAATAACGCTTCGGATACCCAACAATAGAGATTATGTTTTTAAAAAAATATACTGTCTTAAAGAACAGTTAGTTTGATTAAATTTTGCATAGTTTGAATAAAATTATACACCTCAAACTAGCTCAGGGGTAATTGTGACAAAAAAAAAACCCTGAAAATTTGAGGGGCAAAAAATGAATATCAATTTATATACAATACAAGTTTTACATTTAACATAATTTTGAGAACTAACGCTCATAATTAAATGACCTACGAATGAAGAATATCACACCTTTATAGTAACTCATTGAAGAAAAAAACTGACTTCTAACAAGAATCACGACATTGAATTGTAAAATCGCGTGAACGTGAATTTCGATACCGGATTTCAAACTCCGCGAAAATAAAAATTACGATATTGAATTTCTGAACGGTGTAAATACGCATCGAGGTGCAAAATGTTTTGATCACAAGAATAGGAATAGCAATGCGTAGTGCTTGAATCACATACAAATATGAAAATTGATATTAAAACCGTTTGAATACAAATCGCAATATTAGATTTTAAAAGAGCATGAATATAAATAGCGACATTGGATTTTAAACCAGCGTGAATACGAATCGCAAGATTGGGTTTTAAAAACGCGTACATACAAGTCGCAATATTGTATTTTTAAATCGTGTGAGCAGCCATCGTGATGTAAGAGTTTCAAATCACGCAAATATGAAACGAACCACATATCTTCAAGATAAGGTTTATGCGAAATTCGATGTTCGGTAGTAAAATTGCATAAATGAGAATCGCAATACTAACGTATTCCAAATGACAAAAATCTGCAGAACCAAAAAAAAATTATTTATTTGAAGAAGATGTCTTGTTAATGGGTTTTAGCAAAAGTTTTACAATTTTGTCAGATTATATGTTTTTGATGTGTATAAGTCAAAAAATCACCTGCCCTGCTTTTTTCAGACCCTAAATACAATCACCCCCTGCTAGTTATAAGTAAAATCACATCCAATTATAAAAATGTTCAGTGAGTGTTATTTGGTACGACTCTGTGAGATTTTTTGTGCCTGGCCAAACTGCTACTGTGACGGAAACTTTTGTAACACATTGGACATCTGTAGTGTGCAACTGCGTCATGAGAGTGTAAATGACTCTGCAAATGATGACGTTCTTTGAAAACTCTTGGGCAATGAGAACACTTGAAAGGATCTTTCTCAAAGTGAAGGTTTTCGTGTCGGCCGAGAGCTATTTTGCTGGGAGTAGAAAATCCACAGAATCTGCAACTGAATGATGAACATAAATCAATATTTGATTGTGACAACACAAGGTGAAAATTCCTAAAAATTTTATAAGTGAAATCACGATATCAATTTATATACTATTTATGTTTAATATAATTTTGTGAACTAACATTTATAACTAAATTAACAACTAATGAAGAACATCACACTTTTATAGTAACTAATTTAAGAAAAAACGTACATTTTACAAGAATTGTGACATAGGATTTTAAAATTGCGAAAATACAAATCGTGGTGTTAGATTTTTAAATTACGTTAACATGAAAATCAATGTTCGATATTACAAATGCGTGCGATATTACAAATGCGACTTTAGATTTTAAACTCACGTGAATACAAATCGTGATATGGATTTTAAAAACGCATAAATGCAAATTGTGATATTGGATTTTTAAATCACGTTAACACGATTCACAATGTGTATAACTTTTAAATCTGGTAAATACGAAAACTGATGTTTGATATTAAAATTATGCTCATACGATTTGCGTTATCTGCAGATTCCAATGTAGTTTTAAGTATTAAAAACAATGAAAATCCGACAAATACAAAGAAAAAAATCAAATTGGCAGGAGAATCACATGTATGCAAATAATCTCGTTAATGCAATTTAACAAATTTTTCCAAATTTAAATTCCAGTACTCATAATTCATACTTTCAGTCTTGACTCTGACTTTAAATGTTAGATTGCAGTGAAAATTTTGTCAGACTATAAGTTTTGATTCACGGGATGTACCCAAAGCAACGGTCTTGAAAAACTAAAATAGAAGTAAAACACAAAGAAAAACTAAATACCATTATGGAAACAATTAAAAACAGCTATTTATTTTATTCTTCTCAATCTCCATTATTCTTTCTTCACTCATCTGAGAGTGTAAAATATATAAGAAAATTAAGACACTTGTCTGTAGGACCAGTAACTAAAGGTCCATCTGTGTTAGATTTATTTTCAAAAAAAAAGTCAATAAAGTGGATTAAAATGAAAAACTACTATACACAGAATGTGTAATGCCACAATTATAGTGAAGTATGCTATTTACTGACAAAAACACAAACCAAAACATGAAAGCTGGTTTAAAGAACCACTCATCATTTTATGATGGTTAGAGTGAAATTTTAGTGGTCTTTAGCCAATGGACTATCATTAATTTCAGGCCCTACTAAACATGAAACGCTTTTTTTTTCTTTTCATTTAAACAATTTATGAACATAATAATTCTATAAAAATGAATCTACGATATGAAACTTGCAAAAAAATTTAAAAGTAACATAAAGTCAAAGCAAACTTTAAACTAATTCTTTACGTAAATAAATTCTTAAATAATTCTCCATACATTAGTATCTATGCTAATGTTTTCACAGAAATTACTTAAAAGAACTTTTCTTCTTCAATTAACTTTTAGAATAATTTTTATTCCTATCTCTTGAACAATGCGCTTTCTATATGTCAGCAATTTTATTTTATTATCAGCCTGCAAATGAAAGACGTTGATAATGAAATATTAAAATAAATCTACAAAGAAAGACTGAGAAATGTGCGAAACATACCAGTAATTATTAATAGGAACAGTTGGGACTTCCTCCAATACTTCTATCATATCATAAATTGCTATAGTTTCTGAAAAACAAATAACGATAATAAGCTAAATCATCAGAAATGTTGGCAAATAAGTTTTGAAAAAAAATCATTACATGTTTATAGAAGTGAAACATAAACAATAATTCATTGAATTCACAAAAAAAATATGTAAAATTTTTCTAATATTTAAACTAGGAAGGTATAATATTTTTAAAATATAGCATAAAATGTACCAATTTTAGTAAAATTCTCTAGAAATTAATGATAGTTTTAGACTGATTTTACTAGATGCAAAAAAACAGGTGATTGAAATAGTATTGACGACAAACAAACATATGAATATTTTAAAATAATAAATACCAACTTAGTGTTTTTAACTAATTATCATAAAATATAACTTAGTAACTAAAACTAATTATTGAAAATAAAAAATGTTGAGATTTAAAACTAATGGTATGCATCAAACAGAACAAAACAAAAAAAAAAGTATATACAGACTGTTTCCAGAAAACACACACAATTTATTTAGCAGCAACATAACATAATAAGAAACAGCACACATAAAACTATGAAATGTTATTCTAAGATCTAAAAGAGATGTTAATAATTAAATTGATATGCTTTTCAAAAGTGGGAAATTTAAAAACATAAGAGACATTGTGTCGTACATTTGTGTTTACATTTAATATGAAAAGGAAATAATACATTTATAAAATACAGCAGATTTAGATAAAACAGTCTTAGGAGTTAAAACAGTAGCTCCTGGTTGCAGTTTCATCAACACGGAATATTCAAAAAGGTATCAGAGCCGCTTCTTTCTCTTCAGACTAAATCGCACATTTGGAACTGAAACCTAAGTGTATAAAAGGCATTTTAAAAATAACAACACAAAGCAAATAAGATAACAATGTTAAAAATTTTAGACATAATTTTAGAATAATAGTTTTTAAGAAAAAAACACTATTAAAATTCTTTTTTTTAAAAATTTCATGGAAACTATACATTAAAATCTCTTTAAAAGTAAAATGTATAATTTTAATGCTTATTTTTATTTCAATGATTTCAATTACGGATGGACAACTTATGGCACATAGGCCAACCAAGAAATTTAAACTGCTTCTTAAAAAAGAATATTTGTCCTTAGTTTTACGATTAGGTAATAAAAATTTTAGAAAATTTAAAATGAAAAATTACAATAAAAAAATATGCATTTAAAAAATTGTGGTTAACTTTAATAAACTGTGGAAAAAGAAAATTATAAAATCAAGGCAATAACAATTTTTTTAAAAAATGAATATCCAGTCATTACATTTATCTAATAATTGTAATGAAAAATTTTGCTTTTAGAAGAGTTACATATTTTTCTACATTGAATACTTAGCTCTAATTAAGTATATTAATACTCTTAATAATTATTAGAATTTAGGTGTGGACTAATCGTTAAGACAGGGTTTCCAGCAGATCACAGAAGTCAAGCATCACTGGCTACGGTCAGTGTGCGGGTGGGTGACCACTTGGATCAGCCTGCGTAGGGACCGAGGGTGTGCGGTATGGGTCCTCGTTAAACTGGTCTACCATAAAGTGCTCGACTTCGCGNGGTCAGTGTGCGGGTGGGTGACCACTTGGATCAGTCTGCGTAGGGACCGAGGGTGTGCGGTATGGGTCCTCGTTTAACTGTTCTACCATAAAGTGCTCAACTTCGAGTGCAGGTCGTCGGGCTACCGAAGCGGGGGTGACATCCCCTCTGCAGAGGATCAAAATTGTGATGGCATGTCTTCGGATCATCCTCAGGGATGTTTCCCAGACCGTCGCCAATAGCCCATTCTGCAGCTCTAGTGCGACGTAAATGAACAACAACAACAATAGAATTTAAGTTAAATATGAAACAAATATTTTCATAAAATAATAATTTTTTAAAACTATTACTTTTATCTATGTCTAGGAAAAGGAACAATTCACATATAAGTTAAAAATATTTTAAATAAAAAAACTAAATACATTACTGCATTAGCCCCAACACATTTTCTTTTTTTTTTTGTTACCCATTATACAAAAAAGTTTGGGCATGGATGAATTAAACTGATAAATACAATTTTTTGATGTTTTTCCTTCACAATGATTTGCATTTGATTAGAATCATAGGAAACTAATCTAAATAATTATAAACTGAATTAATTATAGCAGGTAGTTTCTTTCAATGTATACAATTCATTCAACGTTATAGCCTAACATATGATTTTTAAAAGTAAAATAAATGAATAACAACAAGACGTAACATGAAAATAATTCAAACTTTTTATAATCTGCACCTCTTTTCAAACAGTTTTTAATTCAATTATAATTTCAAAAAATACTAACAAAACAAAAATATCTTTTAAAAATTTTTTTAATAAAAATTTAAGAGAGATAATTAATAAGTTAAAAATAATCCAAATTATATTGCAATAAGATATTACAATTTGCTTGCTAAATATTTCAATTTAATATTTTTTTTTTTAACCAAAATGATTATTTGTATACAATTTTAATATAATACAAGTTATAAATACGAAAAAGTTTTACAAATACTATTATATTTTTATGAGTAAAAAACAAGTAACATTATATTACATTAATCATTAAAGCTTTACTTACACTCGCAATTTTTGATCTCACTTGTGATATAGTGTTAAGATATGATGAATCTTGTTTAGTCGAAGTTGACATGCCCGAACTAGAGCTTTGACCATAGTGTGACATAGCTTTGTAAGAGTCCCCACTTGACTTACACTGTCGTGGCACAAATAGACCAGTAGATTTTGGTCTGGAATGAGTCTCGATTTCACGGGTCGACGAAGTCGGAGGCATTACAGTGTATTCTTTTCCAGCCCAAACATAAGTCACAGGTTCTTCTTGAGATGGAGAATAACTATGGAATGAAGTATGAGAACCTTCACATTCTCTTCCATGGGAAGAACTTTGCTTTAATGTAGAATTCGATTTTTTACCTAAAACAAGTTTAAACAATGTTATCCGCTTCCCTTACATATTTTTTTTTTGAAAGAAAAAAAAATTGACAAATTTTTTCATTTCACTAATCAATACAAAAAACTAAAACAAAACATAATACACAAGTTTTAAGTTGAAATTTTAATTTATTTTATGTATAAAAAACATTTAATTTACCATCCCAATCTATCTTGGGGGCAAATGAAAAAAAGTTAAATATGAGTCTTGGTATGATAGTTTTTTAAGGGATAACACAAAGTTTCCAAATGCCACCGAAAAGATACGCCCCTTTTTTAACTTTTTTTTTCTATGTAAATTCATCAACCATCTATACAATCACACAAACACACGTGTGCAGCCCCATAAATAGCAAAACTCCCAAACAAATATCGGCAAACTGCTAATCACAACAGATTATTATTATTCTTTGCTTCCGACAGAGTTAAAACCTGATAATACAAAACGTACAGACAAATTCTGCAATGCCCGAGTTAACTGGGTATAATCAAAGAAGCGGTTAAGAAAGTGTTCACCAAAACATTGTTGAGTTTGAAAGAGGATAATTATGTCGACATATCATTCGGTCAATCCTTACTCTCGAGGGACATAATCTATTTTGTACCAAGGTTGGGGTTTTGGATGTCCTAAACTGGTTTTGGATAGGGCATTTGGGTTTTATTGTCTTAAACTGACTGAAACAGTCTTTAAGTGTCCAAAACCTTGAACATTGGTAAAAGGTAAAAATTCTACATGTGTAACCATTGTACATATAGTAATTACATACATTAATAAATAATTGATACTTTTTATACAATTTTCTTTAACTAATTAAAAGAAGGAAAAGATTCTTATAACTTTTGAAGCTCCAGAATTCAGTGAACAACAAATATATATTTTTTGCATAAGGATAAATAATGCAATATTAAAAATAATAAACTTTTTTAATAAAATTCAAACTTGTATTTATTTTGTTTCTTGTTCAAAAAATAACATTTTATTTCTCACAATATTTTTTTTAAAATTGTGGCATAATTTGAGTGAATAGGTTTTAGACTGTGATGGTTTAAACTGCGGATTAATCCATTCTGTTCTAAATTTTGCCAACTCTGTTATATGCCTCCAACCATAAAATTAAATGAAGTCTCCAAATCATTTTGATTGAAGAAAAAATCCTCATTAAAAAAAATAAACTAATTGGCAATTTATATAAGAGTAAAAGCTGAATTTTTTGTTTGTAAATTTCTTTAATTAAAAAAATGAAATTTCTACTAACAGTGCTGGTTCAGAAAAGTTTTGTCGGGCATGCTTCTCCTATTCATAAAGCAAAAATAATGGGACAAAACACGATTAAGTTTGCATGTTTTTACTAAAACGCTTAAGTGTTTTGAAATGAAAATATCATGACCTAAAAGCAAAATGAGGTTTTGAGGGTATTTTATGTCAAAGTTTTTTTTTTATTATTTGCTTAATTAAAGTGCAGCATAATTGAAGAAATATCAACATTTGAGAAAAAAATCAAAATTAACAATTTGTAAAGGAGTTAAAGCTAAATTTTTTATACTAACTACATTAAAAAAAAAATTACTACAATTATACAGTTACTATTAAATATTACTAAATTAGCACTATTTCAGAAAAAATTTTACATTTAAAAAAAAAATGGGACAAAAAATAATTATTTAAATTTGAATATTTTTTCAGCAAAATGCATATGGTATATTTTGATATAAAAATAAGTTTTTGAGGCACATTACGTCAAAATTTAAGCTATTTTTGAGGTTGTTTAATTCAAAAGCTGCCTAGTTAAGAAAGGTGTTATACAATCTTAATCAGAAAACAGGGTGCATAGCCTAATCTTTCAACAAAAAAATAAGCCCCTTTTAAGTATTTTTTAAGCACTCAAAAAATATTTTTAAGCACTATATACATTAAAAAAACATTCAATTTTCTAAGACTTTACATGATCCTTATAAACTAACTAGTTTTTGTGATTATATTAGTCATTAAAAAATGATTAAGAGATTTTTCAATTTGATTTCAGAGGGCGGAAAATGAAGCTTGAAATTTGGAATATCTTGCAAAATGCAGCAGAGTTGCACACGAGAGAGCAATAATCTCACCGAACCCAGCTCACTACATGCACATGCAGATCCGCAAGTATTTCATCAAACTTGTAAAATGATTTGCACTTTCATAGGCTATGGACCTAAGGTACGCTGAAATTGATCGTAGTGGAATGAATTGTGAAAACAATGAATAGAATAATGTGAAAAGCACGCTTTTGCATAATACGCAGCGAAAAGACACGGTAAAGAAAAAAAATCTCATTTTCGAAAAGGGAAAATTAAGCACCTTTTAAAAACACCCAATGAGAAAAAGCACCTTTAAAGGCTTTTAAAAAAGGAAAATATAATTTAAATCTACTGCTGAAATATGACATGGCATATTTAGTTGCATGCAATGAGAGCACGCACCAGAGTTTGTTTTCCAGGCAACATATTTCCGTCTCTCCTGAAGCTTTGACCGAGTTTCTGTAACTGTTTCAAATTCTGGAGCATAACAACAATGAAGAATACCTCCAAAGAAAGATTTATCATCCAGTTGCTTTTTTGCAATCCTATTAAATACAGATTTCTTTTAAAATATTATAACAAAGATACTGTGAGATTATGCAATTACAAAATATATATTAAAATTGAAATATTCCTCTATAGTGTACATGGCTTATACTCCTGGATATAGTGAACTAAATGTTCGTTCCCGTTCCTTGCTATACACTAATAATACTAATTTCTGTGGATAGAGTGAACCAAAAGAAGAGAGTCTTTAACTGATTTTTTCTTCTTCATTTTTGGGTCATTTTGAAATGTCTACATAAAATACATACATTGATTTTTAAAACCATCTATTGAGGGAAATGTTTTTCTTTTTTGCTTCTTCTGTCTCAGCTTCCCATCCCTAAATAAAGACTATCTCTTAATGCTTTGTACACAAGACGAACAGTCATAAAAAATAAAAGTGAACACATTTTTTGTTACTACGTATTGTTTTTGAATCATTTTTATATTTCTTTTTATGGGTCATTTATTTAAATGATGTGTCACATAAAAGGGAGCAGTTTGGAAAAATGAGTTAAAATTGTTTGCAGTGCGGATATAGTGAACTCCCGGTCTACCGAAATTTCGGTCCCCTAAAAGGTTCACTAAAGCGGGGGTTGACTGTATTAAACTTAACCTTTTTATTCCTATGAGGGGCAGAAATTAAGAGGATCTAGTCACTGGTTCGAAGAACCAGTAACCACAAGGTATAGATAGTGTCTGTGCATTTATCTTCCCCTGTTTACATAACTATATTAGAATTTTAATTTTATTTAATAAAAACTCGAATTTTAATGAAAAATTAAAATATAAAGAATACATAATGTTCACATTTAAGATGCAATGTGCTATTTTGTGATAATAAGACATGCCAAAATATGAAACTAAAAGTCAAAAAAGCAATCGCTGGTTTTAATTATTTTATGGTGGTTGGAGTCTAATCGTCATCTTGGGTAAACCATTAATATTGGAACGAATAATAACGAATAATAATTCCAAAACCAATTACTTTTAAAATACAAATTTCTGAAACATACTTTTGAACATAAATATAACATATTTCTATAAGCAATGATACCTACACAGTTCTTAGAGTATTATAAAAAATTTGGCAAATGTCAATATAATATAAATACCTCTATATATAATATAAATACAGCAACAACAAAAAATGTGCTTATTAATATAAACTGAACCAAAATCAAGGAACACAAACAGTTTTCAGAGTTAGTATACAGTCTCTCGGGAGTCTGCAATAGCTTTAAATCTTTAAAAATTATTTTACTTCTAAAAAAGGTTAATTTTAAAATGTATTAGCCAAATCTTTCAACAAAAAATAAGTACTTTTCTAGCACTCAAAAAATATTTTCAAGCATTATATACATTAACAAAATGCAAAATAATTTTCAAAGACATTACATGATCAGGATAAAATAATTAGTTTTTGACACAAAGAACTTTTTTCTAGATTATATTAGCCATTATAAAAAGATCGAGAGGCTTTTTAGTTCAATATCAAAGGGAGGAAAATAAAGTCTGAAATTGAGAATATCTTGCAAAATGCAGCAGAGTTGCACATTGAGATTGCAATAATCTCACCGAACCCAGCTCAGTAGACACATATGCAGACTCACAAGTATTACGCCAAACACGTAAAATGATTAGCACTTTCATATGCTAACGACCGACGGTACACCAAAATAGACTGTGGTTGAATGAATTGTGAAAAAGTTGAATAGAACAATGTGAAAAGCACCCTTTAAAATACTACATGGCGAAGATCGAAATTCTCCATTCGAAAAGGGAAAATTAAGTACTTTATAAAAGCACAATAAAAATAAGTAACTTTAGGACTTTTAAATAATGAAAATAAGCACCTTTACACACTTTTTAAAAACACTATGCACCATGAAAATTATATAAATAATCTTACCTAGCAGGAGAAAGGGCATCATATTTGACTAAATAAACTTCGGTAAATTCTTCAGATGGATATTCATCTAATGGTCGAAAATCTACTACATTTCCATATTGATCACAGATTGCTTGCAATTGTTCTGATGCACCAACTGTTGGCACATTACTTATGATTAAATAAACTGATTCTTGATTTATAGTATAAACCTATTATAAAACATGCAAAATCACTAAATGGTCAAGATAAATAACAAAAAAAATCAATATATATTGATAGTGAAACATGTGAATCCTGGAATAGCCCACCCTGTGGCAATTTTTTGAAACCTCGCCATACTAGGTTTCAGGAAGATATTTAAAAAAAAAATGTCAACTTACTACTTTTTGCCTAAACTTTTCAGAGTCCGCTCCAAAATTTTTAAACTTGATTGGTTAATTGATACGTATACCTACGCAAAAGTAAGATTTCGCTAGAAAAGAGGTAAAAAGGTTTATTTTTTCACCATTTACGCTCCTGATCTCTTATTGTGTTACCTTTATTATTATTTTTCTTTTTTTAAGTGTGATACTGGTTGAAAATGGAGCGCGAATGGACAAGTGAATTTTTAACTTTATTGAATGCAAGAGGTAAGAAAGCAATGATTGAATGGTGTAGGAATCAAAATTTAATTTCGAAAACGTATGAATGCCCTAAATGTGAAGAACAAATGAGTTTGATAGATTGAAAGGATAGGTTGGATAGTTTTTAATGGAGATGTTGAAAGCGTGGATTGAACGAAGTTGCGCATGACTTTTGTTAAAGTGTTGAAAGAGGAGCCATCAGAGTATAAGGTAAGTTATTTTTTATTAAAAAGGTTTTAATAAATTTTGATAATTCAAATTGCTTTTTTTTTTTTGGTAATAAAAAAAACAACGTTCAATCAAGTAATAATCGTCAACTTGGCGAGATTTCAAAAAGTCCCCGAGGGGTGGGCTATTCTAGGATTTTACCTTGTGTAACTGTCATAGCGTACCTAAAAAAACAGACAAGTTGAAAAATCACTTAAAGAAAAATAGAAATTGTTAGTAATGTACAGCTTATTGCTTTCTACCAAAAAAACCAGGTTTTTTTCCTGAACAAGTTTGCCAATTGATGGAACTAGAAAAAGTATTAATCAATGTTTTCTGCTGTATGTCAGACCATTCAAGTTAAAATGTTTATATTAGTGCCCACATTCTGATATAAATATCGCTTAATTTAACATTTTGTTTTATAATTTTCTCAACAGTGCCATCTGTTAATGCATTTTTAACTCATTTATTATTTTTAATACTTCCTAAGAATAAAATCCCAGTTTCTTAAGCAGAATGTAGAAAATTTTACTTTTTCAGAGCATTTTATTTTTTTAAATCAATATTTCGAATAATCATTCATTTTTGGGACACATGTCAACAGAGTTGCAGGAGGCATTTTTGACCGGAATGTCGTAAAATAAAATTAGATATCACTTGAACTGAACATAAATATTTTTTTAAAAATTTAAAGTTATTGACATAATTAATTTAGAAAAAATTAATTGCATTTAGAAATCTCATTGTTGTGTATAAGTCAGTACATGATGTGATTAGGTGCTTGCTGTTATAAAACAGAACAATACAGATAAAGAACAAACTTGAAGGCTATAGTTCATAACTGTAAAACTCTAGTTAAACCGTGTCCTAGATGCCATTGTGAAAGTTGCCAATTAAGTATGTTTTTGCTGAAGTGAGCAAGTTCATGTTGTAAATCAAAAATCTATATTTCCACATCGTGATTTGTTGCACCCGTTACAAACACCAAGGCACTAAAATGGATTTTAAACTTCCAATTAAAAAAAAAACAACAAAAAAACATGAATGGGTGACCTGGGGTAGTTCCTGATCAAAAAATTCAAACATCTATTTTGTAAGAAAACTATTCAAGATAGAATCATAATATTTACTGGAAGTTTGAGGCTATATGAGATGAGTCCTTGGCTACCTTGTTTTGTTTGAAAATCTAATTAGAATTTAAAATATTTTAAATTTTTAGTGATCAGGAATTACCCCTTCTCTTGATCCTTTCTGGGGTAATTCCTGATCACTTCTTCATTAAGGGAGAGTGTAAAGTTAGTTAAGTAAGGTATGTCAACAGCTCTGGCAGCAGCTCTCATACTGAAATTTTCATTTTTAATTATTAAAAGAAATTTACTAATTAAGAAATTTTAATTACTAGAACTAATTTTGCTTTCTAGAAGCTTAGTATCCTTTTTAGGCTTATAATTTCTCACCATTTTTATATTAGGCTAATTTATAAATCTAAAAATTATTGTAACAATGTACACACATAAAATTAAGGTAGAAGCAAGGTAAGACAAATCGGAACACATTTGTCTAGCATACGGTTAAAAACAAATTTTGTTATTAAATTGAGTTAAAATATATTTTATAGTTGTTACACTTGATAAATATGAACTGTTACTTAAGAAAAGACAATTAGCTATTTATTAGCTTATTTTAATACTATTTATGAAGAGAAATGACAATGATCAGGAATTACCCCAGTGATCAATAATTACCCCATCTGTAGGGGGCAACATTTGATATAGTTTCCTATAATCAATTCTAATGTTTACAGTAGATGTGAAACAATTAAACAAGAGCTTACACTATTTTCATATCAAAGAAAAAGAAAGAAACTCAAAATATTTATTATTAAGAGAAGGAGGGAGATCTTTGCAGAAATGTGCACTTTTTGAAACCCATCTTTGAAATGGAAAATACCTACAGAAAGCAGTTTAAAAGATACTTATTTTGTTAGATTGAACAAAAAACTATTATTAAGTAAATGTAGTTTTATTTTAGTAAAGTGTACAAGCATTGTTGTCCATGTCTGAAATTCAGAAAAAAAAATATTTTTTTAAAATAATACTTAGGTGATCATTATTTACCCCAGAAACAGAGTGATCGTGAATTACCCCGGGTCACCCTAAATGTTTGCCCGTGGGTTTTTAAGAGTTATACCCTTTGAGTTGGTCCACTTCTGTGTTCTTATTTGATTTTATTCTCTACAAGCCAGTGACCGGAAGTTGCCAAGTTTTATCCATTATTCAGTTGCATATCATAATACGGAAACCTTTTCAATCAAAACAACTAAACAGAAAATTATTCCAAAATTATAAAAATTAATAAATGACTAAGAAAACCTTTTTAAATCTAAGTAACTAAACAAAAGATTAATAATATTTTATGTCAAAAAAGAAAATAAAACTTACCTATTTTGAAAGTTAATTAATTAGAAAAATAATAAGAACATTTTGAAAATGAGAAGTTTTTCATATCATGATCAGCAGCAAAATAATTGTCAAGTCTTGGCAACTTCCTGCACACGATGTAAGAAACTTTTAAAAAAAACATCACAAAAGGAAACCAATTCAAAGGGCATAACTCATAGCTACCCCTGAGCAAACCTCAACAAGTTTTTTTTTAAAAATTTCAAGTTTGAAATCCCTTTGGCACCTTAGGGATTGCAATTGGAGAAACCGATCCACAAATATACCCCTCCAAAACAAAACAACTCTAGTTTAGATTTACACACAACATCAATGAATAAGACAATAAATGAATAAAAACATTTTTGTCGCTAAGGGTGAGGTTAAAAGAAACTACAGTTCAACCCTCATAGCAAACCAAAAAAAAAAAATTCCCTTAAAAAATAAATAAATTTAGTACGTACAATATATATTCTTGGAGATAGTAATTGGCACCAACAGATTAATATTAAAATGTAAATTAGAACTTTTACCAGCAATTACATTTACAGCAACAACAAAAAATGGAAAAAACATAATCGCGATTAATTAGAATGAGAAATCCTGTTCTGAAGAAATATCTGCTCCTGTTTTGAAGCAGCTAGAGGAAAATTTTTATTTCGGAGAACAATTTAGGTACATTTGATCAAACATTAAGTACAATATGGATAATTATTGTTCGACGAATGAATTTTATAAGCTATAGCTAAAAATAGTAAGTATAAATGGTCTTACTTTAACAGCGGTATCTTTTCGTCCATCTCGATACTTAGCACGGGTTCCACAAATACTTTTTTTAATATGATGAGGATAAACATTTATAGTTTGAAATGCATAGTTACAACTCATAATCAATAAATTAATCGTTAGTAACTAATCAATATTAAGAGCGAACAACATACAATTACAATCGAAAACTTACGGAAACCAGGACACAACAACAACATCAACAACCATCATAAAGGATCACTTCCGTTCAGTTTCTGAGAATTAACGGACCAGAAATAAAAATAAATTTTTAACAAATTCAGCTGAATTAAGGGATTAAGCATCCATTTTTTATAGGTTTCTTCAATCCTCATTATTTTCAAAATCTTCGTAAGTTACAATTTTTAAAAGAAATTATGTCATTTCTTACCTCTTGTCTGCAGGTGGCAACAAAAAATAACCGATCTCGTCCCTTGTAGTAGTGGATAAAAATTTTCCTTAAATTTCAAAATTTTAGAATTATTACTGTAAAAGTCAATCAAAATTGTGGAAAGAAAAATTTTAAAAGAATGCAATGATTCTCTGGGAACTTCGTTTAAGATTTCATTTCATCACTAAAAGCATATTGTTAGTATCTCATTCATTATGTTTAGACAACGCGACATCAAGGATTTGAATTTTTATGAATGAGCACAATTGTTTTGATGTGTGATTTATAGGTAATGGAAAAAAATATTTATTTTTAAAAAAGCAAAGTACAAAATTGTTGTTGCCGTGTAAGAATTATTTCTATTTGCGATTGTTTTTTATTCTTTGTAAACATATAATAATAGCAGTTTTTTATTATTAAATGTTAATAAAGCTATGGCGAAAGTTAATGTAGTTAGTTATAATTTTAATCTATCAAACACAGTATAGAATCAAATAGTTATTAAAATAATTGAATTTAATCACCCTACTTTTATTTAGTTTTTCTCTCATCGTATTTTTGCAACCCTTTTTTAAAATAAAATACGCATTGAATTGATCGAACCGAGTTCCTTGTTAAAAAATTTAATCATTTAGTTGCAAGTCCTGTTTCAGAAATTTTTTTATTAGATTGGCCCGAAGGTGAGACAGTATTATTTGTTATATTTATTTTTGTCTGGTATTTTCGAAGTACACTCAAAACAAATTTTTTATTCTGGATCCTTAGTCAGATATTAAAATAACTGAAAGCAAGAAAAATTATTTATTTATTTTGATTACTAATTTTATCCTGTGTATGGCCTCTGCCAAATTAATAACTAAATTTCTGCAACTTCGGAGTAGTACCCCATGAAAACTAATGAAAAAATATGGGACCAACTTGAGAAGTAAAACTTGTACACACTCCTTCTTCTTTTTTTTTTTTTTAATTCTAGCGATTTAAAATCTCTTTTGCATCATATTGATTGTAGTTAGTATGAACAGGTATCCGGAAATATGACCCGCTGTGTTGACATACTTATATTTTATTGAAGGAGCAGTCGGTGATTGAATATAAATTTAGAATCTAGTTTCTTATTTAGAAAATATGATTCATTTTGTGTTAAGTCCTAAAGTAGAAATATTCCCATTATTTTTATGAATAGTTGAAAATTAGATCATTTGTTTAGTCTAATATGTTCAAAAAACATTATCTTATTTTCATTAGAATAGCTGATTGATATAATAATAGCTGAAAAGGATATAACTTATTTGTTCTATTTATTTTTGTTTATTATTGGCGACAGGTGGCGTATAGAACTCTCTACCTATTGGCAACACTTTGCATGCTTTCATCATTAGCATGTTTGAAGTCATAGGAAGAAGGAAGTACATTAGTTTCTTTCTTGATTTTCAAATAGATTAAAATCTATTAAGTTGGGAAACCAGAGGTCTCTGCAGGGTATATTTACTGTCATTTAGCGGTACCTTCACATATTCAACTGTTGGAAAAATGCTAGTTTCCCAAAATACTTTTAATAAACCAAGTTCTCATGTAGACCCCATTCTCGTTGTAATCTAGGGATTTTTGCCAGATGTCTTTTACAAGAAAGTAGCACATGTTTAGTCAAATACTGCAATATGGTAAACCTAAACCGTCGCTCACACCATATCAAAGCGAGCTTTTGTTTTTTAGCTGAATTTTTTTAAATGAAACAACAATGGTCTCCTTTTGTAAACTCTACTGAAAGTCAAAATTTGAACAATATTCTAAACGTTCGAACATTATCTTAAACCCTATTAAAAATTTATTCTTACAGACCTACATTTTTTATGAAACATTTTTTTTTCTCTGTGAAACTTTTTTCTGTATAACCTAGTCGAAAATGTTCTCACAATGAAAATAACTTTTTGTGCTAGTACTGTTGAATGCATGTTTTGTTTTTTTTTAATTCAAGTTGAAATTTAATTTAACTATCAGTGTTTTCACTACAGCACGAGAACGTGAGAATCTCGCATATTTTTTTCCTTTCTCGCATTAAAAAATGGTTAACGCGAGAATTTCTCACACTCTATTAATCAATTTTAAAATGCTCGAATTCTGGAAACAATTTCGTCTTCCGCCATTCTGAAAAAGACGTGTTAGAAAAGAACAACTTCGACAAGTGTTGAGAAAAAAAAGTGAGTCCTTTATATTAAGTTGTTTAAAGTTGCTCTATTTTTAGTTGTTAATGAATTACCAAACTCACTCATCTACAATTTACAGCAATTTGTAAAAGTTGAAGTCTGTGAAAACTATGCTGGAAGACCTAACAAGAAGTATGAACATGGAAATAACTTCAACGAACCTCATTATTCTAGAGCAGAAATAACTGAAAAGCCTATGCTGGCAGTTGTAGAGGATAGGAAAGTGTGTGCACAATGCTACAAATTTAATTAGTGATTCCGAATAGTTCAGCATCTGTTGTAAGGTCATTTAGCACCCAAAACCGTATTAAGACAAAATATTGTAACAGATTGACTGATAAGCATTTGAGCAACCTAATGAGAATAGCTGATGAAAAAGTAGATATAGAACCTTTTCCATGTGATAATGCAGCAAAAATATTCAATGCTTTAAAAATTAGAAGATGTTAAAAATTTATTATAATTAAAGAAATATTTTTTTTTCCCAAGTCTATTCGTGTTTTTCTTAATTTTTAAAAATCTCACCCAGTTTTTGAGAAATTCTGTCTCGTTTTTTTTTTTTTTTTTTTTTTTTTNAAAAAAAGTTTTTTTTTTTTTTTTTTTTTCTGTAATGAAAACACTAACTATGGACAATAATTTTTATGGAATTCTAAAATTGGAGATAATTTTAAGCCTATAATTTTACAATAGCAAAATGATCTTTTTTATATGGGGAAAGCCAGAGTATGACCCGAGCAATAGGATTTAATCGCACTGCAGTTAAGCAGTTTTTTTTTAAATTCTCTGTTAAGTAAATGTAAGATTACTGCAAATCATATTTATAATGTTGATGAAACAGGAATTCTAACAGTGCCAAACAAGCCTTCAAAAGTGTTGAGTCTACGAGGCAAAAAGCAAGTGGGTAGTTCACCCGAGTTTTGGTCACTGTTGAGACATGCAGCTGGGGTATTCGTCCCTCCTATGTTTGTATTTTCTCGAGTGAAGGAAAACCAAAGACTCATGGATAGTTTGAAGTGTATCACTAAGAAGACCTTCATTGTTAGGTTTTAAAAGTTCGTAGAATTTTCCAACACTAGGCCAGTGCTGTTGCTGCTTGATGGAACAACAGTCACACCAAAGTTTGGTGTAACTTGTGAATTTAGCAAGAGAAAATAATGTCCCCACATACAACTCATCGCCTTCAGCCCCTGGATGTCAGTTTCATGGCTCCGCTGAGCACGTATTATATACAAGGAGTTCGAAAGTGGCTGTTCAACCATCCAGGTAGGTGCGTTGCAATTTACGAGGTTACAAAGCTGTTCAACGCAACCTACTCACTGGCAGCCGTTGCAGAAACTACCATTAAAGGGTTTAGCAAAACTGGTATAAGTCCTTACAATCCTGACGTCTTCCCAGATCACCTGTTTGCATTGTCTGTCACCACTGATCTAACAGCAAGAACCTCCAGGCATTTTACACCAGACTGATGTGTGCAGTTTTAGGATTATTACTCTCTTGTTATCGACCTAAGCGACCCTTTTCCATCCTTCCAAAGTGTGTTCTACCTGTACCTCAAGTAAAAGTACCGCTCCCAGAAAAAATGGCTGATAAGAGAAAGAAGAAAACTGTAGTAATAACACCATCTCCATATTAAAGTGAATTATAAATGGAAGAAAAAGAAAGGGCTAGAGCTACAAGAATTAACCAAGAGAATCGAAGAAAGGACTGCTAAGAAATCCCTCTTAAGGGCACCAGGCATATTTTGACAGTGAAAATTATGGAATAAGCGTTCATGTTTAAAAACTCATAAAATCTTTAAAAACATATGTAGCATCGTAATTTTTGTGTGCTTAATTATAAAACAACAGTCTATATAAAAATGTTAGAAGCAATAAAATCCCATAAATACAGTTTTTAGAAATTTGGCTTTACAGTTTTCTGTCAGTTAATTATGTTTTTTAGTTAGTTTTACACAAAAAATTAAACATTGTAAACCCTATCCCGTTTTGTCCAACCCAGGTATTCTAAAACGGGATATATAAGAGTTTGGAAAATGAAATTTTTTTCTATTCACAGTCATTAAATTTAGTTTAAAATATGTTTCTTCTGTGCTTCAATAAGTGATATAGCTATAAAAGAAAAAAAAGCGTGGTTCTCTTTAACAGATTTTCCGTAATAAATAAAAACAATAATGGTGTCCCGTTTTGTCCAACTTTCCCCTACATTTCTGCAGGAAAGAAAACTAAAAAATTTTTCAAAGGAAAATTTTTTCTGCAAGAACTCTGTAATGTTCTGCGACAATGACCCCATGTCGCTGCTATTTTTCCCATTGGGCAGAAAGTATTTCAATTGAGATTTTGTGTTTGCAGAAAGTTTTTCATTTTATCGAAGTCTGTGTCAGTAAATATCAGTTATTTAATTGAGCATGTTAAACAAAAACTAGGTTCTATGAAATTGTCAGAGATACTCATGCTTTACTTTTAACTTTCATCCTCATCATAGTCCTAGAAGCAGAAAGTGCCTAAAACTGTGACGTACGTCGCAGAACAAACGGAAGTCCTGCAGAACAATTTGTATCTTGAATACTTCTGTAACCATTTTGATCAAGAGAGCTTCTAAAGCAAGCCGTAAATGAATTAAATTCAGAGATTTCAAATTTCATAAAGTTTATGTCTTTTTATATTTTAAATTCCCACTTCAGAAGCAATTTGTGAATCGTGGGGATCCATGATTGAGAGAATTGCTTCTAAAAGACCAAATGCTTTCGATGGAGAGGAAGAAGCTTTTTGAACAACAGACCAAGGAATGTTTGTATTTGCAAATGGTACACCATCCTTGCACCTTTGTCCCTTCGAAATATTTTTAAGGCAGCCCTTATTTTAATGTTTGGACCTTCATATCATAGGCATTTTATTAATAATTCATCATCACCGTCATTAACAAAATTTTTTACTTCAAAAGTGATTGAAAAAGTAACAAATCAAGAATGTTCGCCTTGGTTTAAAAAATAATGTAGTGTATCTGTGTATGATCCTATAATTGAATAAATGAAAATATAGTATTTTAACATAAAGTTGGCTTTTTTTTCGATGTGAAATGCTTGCAGAACATTTGTTTAAATTGATAAGTCCTGTTGCAGAACATTTGAAAATATTCAGCTTCTGGGATCATAGTTAGCCAGACAGTCCAATGTGGGTCAATGCCTTCCTCTGAAGATTTTTCTCCATAATGACGTCAGATTTATCTTTGATCTCCAATTCTTTGCATTAATTGCAAGAAACTCAGACTCCACCAATTCAGCCCTTCTCAACCGCGACCTTACCAGCTTTCTTGTTCCAGTAGGTTTAAAAAGCAGCATCTTTTTTATTGTATTTTCATCACTCATTCGAATCATGTGGGCCATACACAGTTCAAAGTTATTTTGTATAATCTCCTTCTCTAGTTATTGTTTTCATTTACACCACCAAGTATACTCCGCAAAATCTTTCTCTCAAATATTGTGATACAATTTTCCTCCAGTTTTGTCATTGCCCAAGTTTCAGAAGCATATGTCAAAACTGGCCTGACAAAAGTTTTGTAGATTAAGAATTTTGTTTTTCTTGAACGAAACGCAGATTTGATAAATCTTCGCAGCCCATAGAGAGCCCTATTTGCCAGATAGTTGATTTTTTTGTTTCAGGAGTCATTCTGTTGTCAATAGTAATAATTGATCCTAAGTAAGTAAAACTCCTTACTGTTTCAAATCTGTAAGAATTTATTTCAAGATAGGGGTCTGGGGCTCTGTTTCTTGAGATCAACATATATTTTGTTTTCTCTTCATTAATGACTAAGCCCATTTGTTATTTAACTTTATTATTTTATAAATAACCTTTTTTTAAATTTACTTTAAATGCTTAGCTTTTTGAGAATGAAAAAAAATAATAAACGCTCACGTTTGAAATTTAAAAATCCAAAAGAAAACTTAGTAAAAAAATTTGCTGATTCTTACCTATTTTTACAAGAAAATGTTCTGCAAATTTCAAAAAGAAAAACAAACTACGAGTAAATCATTTTAAGGCATCAAATAGATGGCAAGAAAAATTATTTTGAAAGGTGTAACATCGTAAATTTATATTTTCATTTTAAGAAGAAAAAACTGAGGTTTTTTTCTAATCTTAATTTTACAGGTAATAAATTGTGGGTTAGTCTTTTTGTTTGTAATTTTTTAACTTATCGTTTCATATTGTTTCTGTTTCTAATATTATTTGAACACCCAATTCATTTATAATTATGAATAGCGGCCACTCCTTAACATCTGTCACATTCGCACAGTCCCGCAATGAACTGAGGTTTCTCTCTATTTAATGTATAAAATTGCTTTAATAATTCAAGATGGGAAATTTTGATTTTAGTCTTATAAGGTATAGATAATTTAAAATTTTTTTCAATGATTGAAGCTGATAGAATTATCTTAATTTTTATTTTATTTTTTCTGTTGTATTAGTAATGTGAGTTTTATAATTCTTGATCAAAGTTAATTTGAGTTATGTAAATAATATACCTATGTGTAAGCATATTTTCTTCTCAATAAACTAAGTTTTTGTGCATAAAATTATTTTTGTTTAATTTTCTTTCTGTTTATGTCTTTATTTAAGGTACTTAAAATATGAGTAAAAGCAGTTTAGAAGCTGCTGCTGAGGCCGCAGCAAAAGTGAATGCCATGCTGATTGCTAAAGGAAAATTAAAATTGTCAACTTCACAAATAAAACCTAAAGTAAGTTCTCTTGTTTTGTTTTTTAATTTTGATAAAAAATTATGATCTTTCTCCTTTTAATTTCAAATCTTTATACTAAGATGAAACATACTTTTAAAAAAATCTAAAAAAATTATGATGATAATAATTTAAAGAAATTCATTATAGGTTGTGCATTTGTATAACTTACTGTGATATAGCAGATCTTAACAATTTTTTTAAAAAAGCACTGAAAGTCATGGGTTTCGCTCACCGCAAAATCTAATTTTTTAAATGGAATCCCCCCCCCCCTTAATTTCACAGTGTTCCGAGTATCTGAATTTGTAACAAAATCTCCACTCACAGTAATATTTTATTAAAATTTAAATTGTTTATATACTGTTCTTTAGAAATTATGGTGCTCTTTCAAAAAATGAAAGAAAGAATGTCATTTCTAGAGCGAATTGTCTTTTAAACTTCTCTGATTTCAGAATTTTTTTATTTATTTATTATTTAGTTTTTTTTTTATTCTATTAATTTAAATTTCTAGCTGAAACAAGCCAGTCATTGGCAAATTTTTGCTTTAATTCTGAAAGGAGAACAAAAAAATCGGGAGTATTTCTTTCCTTTCCCATGAAAAAGAAAACTATCTTTAGAATATAATTCTACAGAAAAATATTTTTAAAAAAATTTATTTGCTTTTGTAATTTTTTAGCTATTTTATTGCTTCAACTCTTTCTATACTCGTTTTTTGAATTTAAATCTATAAATATGAAGATGCAGAGTATAACAGATTTGATTTACTTATCATTTCAATTAATGTTATTTTAATGTTTTTTTTTAAATTTGTTCTTGTGTTTTTTGTCTGAGAAAATAGTAACTTCGTTCAGTCAGGAAAAGTCATGGATTTGAAAATCTAAATTTTAGCAGATACCTTGTATTTATAATTAATCTTGAAATGTGTTCATTAAATTATTGTTAATTAAATTATTTAACCTTGTTGACCTTTTAATTGAATGGTTATTTGTTTTCCAGATAAATTAGGTAGCTTTTAGGTTAAAAGCATGTTTAACATAGCCCTTTATTATTTAATATGTTTGTTAATTAGTGTTAAGATATAGAGATACCTCAAATTTGGTGTGCTTTTAAATAAAATAAAAGGTATGACTTTAAAATAAACGGTATGACTTTGAAATAAATGGTATGACCAAAATCAAGATACTAAACTTTCTTCTATTCTAAATGTCTTAATTTCTAATTATACCTCAGCCACTGACCTAGATTTCGAGGAATCATTTCATATTTTTAAAAATTCTATTAATTTAGTCAATGATCTTTCTAGTGTCTATTTTTTTCATCTTTCAACATCTGAGGTACTCATTTGTGGAACACACCCTTCTTTTTTTTTTTCAGTTTACTTATGCTTGATTAAATTATTCTATCTTGTTTTCCTACCCTATTGGCTAATTAAATTTTTTTCCCCTTGTGAATTGCTCTGCATCTCTGTTGTTTCTCACTTTTATTTAATGTTTCAGCACTGAACAAGTTTCTTCGTTATAGTACCATATCATATGTCTGTTTATGTGATATTTATTTTTGTTTCCTGTTGTAAATTTATTCATTCAGAGCAATGTATCTAAAAGCAGCACAGTAATTGTTGAACTTATATTTTGTAAGTTTGTGTAGACAGATCAACTGGTCGTACCTGATAAGTCGTGAATAAGTACCTGAATATTTAGGTACTTATTCTGAGGTATATATTAAATTTGACACTAGTCCACAGGGCATAACAGATATAACTAGTATGTTTGCATGCATCTATTTGACTTTTTCTTTTAAAAAATGTTAAAGTGAATTTTAATGATAATTTAATGTACGGAAAATGTGAAATGTTTAAAATTATTATGAAACAGGGTGCATAGCTTTTTTTTAAAAGTGCTTACAGGTGTTTACTTTTGATTTTCGTTTTTTAAAAGCCGTTAAAGGTGCTTTTTTTTTATTCAAGGTTTGTAAAAAGTGCTTAATTGTCTATATTTTTAAAAAATATTTTTTCTTTGTGGTGGTTGTCTTTTTAAATTACAAAAAATGCATGGTTTTCACAATTTTCTCAGAAACAGGTTCTTTTATCATAATTATGTAAAGTATTGAAAAAGGTTTTGATTTTATCTTTATAAATTAGGAACTTCAAATGATAAAAAAATATTTTTTATTATTGCACAGGTCCTAATTATAATATTTTTTTTTTTTTTTTTAGAAAGTGATTATAAATATTTTTTGAGTGCTTGAAAAGTACTTAAAGGGTGCTTATTTTTTTTGGGTGAGAAATCTGGCTATGTGCCCTGCAAAATATGCTGTTTCGTGACAATAACTCAGACCAAAACAGAAAACTAAAAATTAGTTGCCAAAAAAGCACCTTTTTTTTAGTGCTTGATTTTCCCTTTTTGAAAATTAGATCTTTTTTTTTTTCATTACACTGTCAATTTTTGCCTTGTATTGTGCAAAAGCGTGCTTTTCACATTGTTCTATTCATTCAACCGTGATCGATTTCACCCTACTGTAGTCGTAGTGTATGAATGTGCTAATTATTTTACATGTTTAATGAATTACTTGCAGGTTTGCATGTGCGTCTACTGAGCCGAGTTCGGTGACATTCTAGCATTCTCTCATGCAACTCTACTGCATTTTAATGATAGTCTCAATTTAAGGCTCCATTTTCCACTTTCTGAAATCGAACCAAAAAATCTCTCTATTTTTTTATGGTGGCTAATATAATCAGGAAAGGAGTTCTTTGTTAGAAACTAGTTATTTTATCATGGTCATGTAAAGTCTTTGAAAATAATTTTTCATTTTATTAATGTATATAGTGTTTAGAAAGTACTTAAAAGGTGCTTATTTTTTGTTGAGAGATATGGCTATGCACCTTGTAAAAGCGGATTTTAAAAGAGAGAGAATTATTGAAAAAGAGAGAGTAATAATGCAGCTTTTATTACTTAATAGATTGGGAACAACGTACTGGGTAGAGCCAAAGGTGGAGATTTAGTTACAGCAGAAATTGATATAAATGATGCTCCTCTTAGTGCAAGAAATTTACTGACTAGAGGACATATGCAAGATGAGGTAAATCACAATTCATTAGCTTGTTTTTNTTTTTTTTTTTTTTTTTTAATATTAATGAAATTCGGTTTTGCTTTTTATATTTAACTTTTTATTATTATTGATAGGTATTATATGTGGGGAATTTCAATAAAATATTTGCAACCCTTAAATATCTCAATTCTTATTTTAATAAATAATTATTAAAAATTGCTTATAAACAAATTATTTTTTAATTCTGTGTAAGTATTTTACAGTTTCCTTAACAGTTGAGTTTCTCATGCTCTTGATTTTTTTTATTCCCTTTTGGACGGGAAAAAAATTGGTTTTCTTTTCTTTCACTGATTTTATGATTTTTAATTATTTATTTTTTTATGTGATGATGATGATTTACGAAATGCAAAAAAAGAAATAATGAGTGTGTTTTCCTCTTACAAAATGTGAGAATATCGCCCATGATATTAGAATAAAAAAATATCACATATTAATTTGAAAAAATGCATACAGTTTTAATTTATCCAAAAAAGCTTTTCTTTGTAAATTCAATGTTTCTGTTACTTTAAATTTAATTAATAACATTTATATTAATTCTTATCAAAAGTATCTTGCAGAAAGATATTAGTGCTAGAGAAGTTTTCCTCTTGAATAATCAATGAGTCACTAAGATAGTACTTTCAGGCATGAAAATATAATCATTAGATAAATAAATAAAAAATTTAGAATATTATGTTTTTAATTTTGTTTCGAAATTATTTTTTACAAATCTCATACTCTAAAGAAGCCCCAGTTTCTCAAAGTTACAAGAGTTTTTTTTTTTTTTTNTAATGTATATAGTGTTTAGAAAGTACTTGAATGGTGCTTATTTTTTGTTGAGAGATATGGCTATGCACCCTGTAAAAGCGAATTTTAAAAACTTATTTTAAATTTATGTTCTGATGAAGTTTATTTATCTTTCATTCATTTTCCCCACTTATATCGTTATTGAAAAAGAGAGAGTAATAATGCAGCATTTATTACTTAATAGATTGGGAACAACGTACTGGGGAGAGCCAAAGGTGGAGATTTAGTTACAGCAGAAATTGATATAAATGATGCTCCTCTTAGTGCAAGAAATTTACTGACTAGAGGACATATGCAAGATGAGGTAAATCACAATTCATTAGCTTNTTTTTTTTTTTTTTTAATATTAATGAAGTTCGGTTTTGCTTTTTATATTTAACTTTTTATTATTATTGATAGGCATTATGTGTGGTGAATTTTAATAAAATATTTGCAACTCTTAAATATCTCAATTCTTATTTTAATAAATAATTATTAAAAATTGCTTATAAACAAATTATTTTTTAATTCTGTGTAAGTATTTTACAGTTTGCTTAAACAGTTCTTGAAATATCGTATTATATGCAAAATTAATAGTATGAGGATAAAGTACTTTTCTAGCTAATATATTTTGACCAGAGAGAATACTTCTTTTGTCTACTGCTTGTTGAGTGAGTTACTTATCTTTGTTCTTTATAAAACACAAAAATGTTTAAACAACAAATTTCTGAGAAAGTAAAATAAAATGAATAAGCAATACCTTTTACGGTCATTGTAAGCAATGATTTTTAATTTTAATATTAAGTTGTTAATAAAGGAAATAATAGAGTATGATATGTAATCAACGGAAGAGGCATTCTTTTGAAGTGCATGGTAAGAATTTTTTAAAAAAATGTCAGTATTTTTATTTTATTTTATTGATTTTTTTTTTTAAAGTGCACATGCTGGTGTACTTGCACTTTACATAAAAATTAGGGGTTAAAATAAAAATATCTTCTTTTTTTTATTTTATGTTGTAACCAGAAATAAATAACAATGTCTTCTATCTAAGCCTAATATTAAGATTTTGAACGTGACTTGGAAACGGATTTAATAACGAATCTCTTGTAAAATATGCTATATTCCGCAAGGCATTTTCGAGGTGACATTGTAGCAGAATGTTTCAGAGCTCTTGCAGAAAGAATTTCCCTTCAGAAAGTAAAAAAAAAAAAAAATTGTTTTCTTTTCTGGAAAAATTTTTACACTTTTTTTTTCTTCTCTAAAATTATATTTAAAAGACGCCTTTTTTACACATCGGTGGGAAGGAAATCTTCTTAATTTTTAGCTTCTTATTTGAGAAGAATGAAAAATGAGGAATATTGAAGCAAACAATTTCTTTTCTGCAGAAATGTTTGAAAGTTTTTTTCCCCTCCACAATTATACTCAAGAGATACCTTTTTCACTCATTGGGGGGGGGGGGGAAATNGGGGGGGGGGGAGAAATGCTCTTGATTTTTTTTTATTCCCTTTTGGACAGGAAAAATATTTGGTTTTCTTTTCTTTCACTGATTTTATAATTTTTAATTATTATTTTTTTATGTGATAATGATGATTTACGAAATGCGAAAAAAGAAATAATGAGTGTGTTTTCCTCTTACAAAATGTGAGATTATCGCCCATGATATTAGAATAAAAAAATATCACATATTCATTTGAAAAAATGCATACAATTTTAATTTATCCAGAAAAGCTTTTCTTTGTAAATTCAATGTTTCTGTTACTTTAAATTTAATTAATAACAACATTTATATTATTATCAAAAGTATCTTGCAGAAAGATATAAGTGCTAGAGAAGTTTGCCTCTTGAATAATCAATGAGTCACTGAGATAGTACTTTCAGGCATGAAAATATAATCATTAGATAAATAAATAATTTAGAGTAATATGTTTTTAATTTTGTTTCGAAATTATTTTTTACAAATCTCATACTCTAAAGAAGCTCCAGTTTCTCAAAGTTACAGGTTTTCTTCATATGTGATCACTAAATTCAGCAACTTTTCTTTTTTTGAATTCAAAAAATAATGATTGTAAAAAAAACCTAAAAATATGTCATAGGGAATTATTAAATTTAAAAAACTAAATCTGAACAATCTGGAATATTTTCAACAGTAAGGGTAGGGTTGTGATTAAAATATTATATATTTTCTCTAGACAAATTTGTTATACAAATATTTTGCTTAACCAAGATAAATGCTAATTAAAATAAATATTTTACAACCAATGCGTATCTTTTCCTAGAAATTATTATTATTCTGGGTGCAACAATTCTTTTCATATTTAGTTTGCATTTGAGGACAATACAAGAGGTAGTCTTCATAAACAGACTTTTTTAATCAAAACTGAAAGAGATTGTTCTCCTGGTGAATTGAAATGGGGCGAGTTGTGTCTGAGGTGAATTTTGTGAGATAAATTGTCCAACATTAACACTAAAGATACTATCACTTAATATATACCTATTTCTACCCTTAGCCAGTCAAATGACCGGACTTTATGATTCTTGATTGAATGTATGAAATTTGGATGTTAGGAAGGAAATAAACTAAAAAAATAACTTCACTATAATTAAGCAAAATTGTATATTGCCAATTTGTAAGTATTACAAACACAAGGAATAAGAATTTTTAATTCATTGCTCAACGCATTTTTACGTATACAGAGTGTTTCCACTGTACATTTTCCGTAAACATATTTCTTCCAATTATTATTGTTTCTATGATTCTTATAAGAATTATAATTAATATTATTTCTTCTAAGAACTTGTGCTGTCTCGATTGTTTTTGACATTTTTCTGGGTAAAAACTAACACTTAGTTTGAAATGAAGTGAAGCTATCAAAATAAAATATAAGCTTCTTACCAAAACATTTAGTTTTTGTCTCTTTTTCTGAGACAAAAATGCCAATGTAAAATGTTAGGTACTTTCTTGAAGTTTGAATTCACAGTTATTCTGATTGAACTCACTTTGCAACAGTCTTAGCAGAAATGTGCAACTCAAGGAATGCAATACATTGAACACGCATGACATTGTAATTTCTGATCCGATAACCTTATAAGGCAATAAATTGTTCACCAGGTTAAATGACCGGTTGTGGTAGAAATAGGTATACCACATGTATTATTCGAAATAAATAAAATACAAAAAAAAAAAACAATAATAATAGATTATTAGCTGTATATAATTTTTAGAAAAAGTCATGAAGTCAAATGTGCAAACATGATAATCACATTTTCGAAGAAATAGTTCTTAAAGGGTCATTCGACCGGTTATTGTATGTTTAGTGTTAAATTAACATAACACTCTACCATTCTAATCTGTGTACCCATCAACCGATTCTTTTCTTTTTCCTGGGTGAGAAAGACAAAAATCAGTTTCTAGAAGGTTTTTTTTTTTTTTTAAACCTTTAAGAATTGAAGGTAAGTATTTATATTTTGGCTATAAAGTCACAAAATGAAAAGAAAAATCCAGCTTTGTCTTTTACCACCTTTCCAGGGGTCTATCTAGGTTTTTTTTTTATAAGGTACCTATTTTGGTGAAAATTGTATTAAAAATTCAACACAAAAAAAGTATTTATATTTTGGCTATAAAGTCACAAAATGAAAAGAAAAATCCAGCTTTGTCTTTTACCACCTTTCCAGGGGTCTATCTAGGTTTTTTTATAAGGTACCTATTTTGTGAAAATTGTATTAAAAATTCAACACAAAAATATGGTAAAATAAGAAAATATTTTCATAAATTGTCTCTACAAATAAAAATCATTTATGACTGGTAAATTTCTATACTTATTTCTCCCATATGTTCAAAAACAATTATGCTATTGTAAAATTGGTTTTAGCTGCCTAGTGTGCTGTTCCAGTTTGAATTATTGTAGTAATGGTTATTTATTTTTCCTACCTCCTGTTTAATATTTTTTACTTAAGAATTTGAATTTATATTTAGAATAATGTTTAAATAATAGTTCGAATTTAGACTTCCTGTGAACTTTATAGAGCTCTACATTTTAAAAAAACTCTGGGAGGAAAAAAAGGTCACTATAATATCAGGGTGTAAATGATTTTAATCAAATGATTAAAATCATGATTTAAATCAAATGATTTTTTTAAAAAAATCACTGATTTTAATAAAAAAAAAAAACAATTTTGTGTATAGTCTTGAACATTCCTTGTATATTTTTCTAAGTTTCAAACATAAACAAGTAAGTAGACTGTTCTATATATTTCTCAGATCTCACTCATATAATTCAACATTTCTACTTTCAATGTGACTCATTTGCTTTTAAAAACAGTTTACATATTATATTTATAGTTCATTGAGCTAAGAAATGCAGAAGATATGCTTTTAATGTTAAAACCCATTTCTGTAGCATTAGATAAAATGCAAAAAGATAATTGTAGTTTATCAAATGTTGTCAACATCTGGAAAAATTTAAAGGAAACTCTGAAAGATTCTAATAATAATTGCTGCAAAAATTTTTTTACTAAACGATATGAACAAGCGTTAACACCAGCTCATTTCCTAGCTTACCTCTTGGATCCTAATTCTGAAGTACAATGTTTAACACTAAATGAAAAAGATCAAGCTGTAAACTTTGTTAAAGAAAAGTATGGAGAAACCTCCTTATTAAGTATTTTGCTAAAATTCATTGTACGCTCTCCTCCGTTTAATGGAACTTTGTTTGATAAAGAATCTCTAGAATCTTTAAACATCTTGGAATGGTGGAAATCAATTGCGCTTCTAAAGAACTGTGTAGGTCAAAAAGAGTTTGATGCAATACAGTTGTTATGTACTGCAAAAGGAACAACTGCAGGGATAGAGAGGATGTTTTCCACTTTTGGACTTGTACATACTAAACTACGGAATCAATTGGGTGTAGAAAAGGCAGCTAAATTAGTCCTTATGTTTAAATCTTTAAATAAAACTAATTAAATGATTGTTTAAATAATTTGATATTGTAGATGTAGAATTAATAATTATCACATATTGTTTGATAAACAATTTCTTTCTTGATTTGTAGTTTGAAATCACTTTGTTATTGTTTATTTCTTATTTCACCTTTTGCTTTTAAATTATTAAGAAATATTTTGTTGATAATGGTTAGTAATGTTTATTTCCAATGTATACCATAAGTAACAATAGTAATACAATACAACTTTAAATCTATGGTACACAAAATTGATTATATTCCATAGAATTGAAATTATAAAAAAATCATGATTAAAATCAAAAAAATCCGATTAAAATCAAAAAAATCCGATTTTTTTGATTTTTTAAAAAAAATCATGATTTTTATACACCCTGTATAATATACCATAAGCGACCCGTTTGGCTTACCACACTGCGCTATCTGACAGGGCTCCCACAGGTCAAGGAAAACCTGGAATTGTCAGGGAATTTTAATTTAATTACAAAAATCAGGCAATAGTCCGGGAAAGTTGCAATTTTTTACAAAAACCTGGAATATTTTGATATCATACCTGGAAAATAACCAGTCTTAAAATTGTCTGTAACAGCAATCAGTTATTGAGATTTAGAGTTAATTCTAGCATCTATTTCAATTATTTGTTTTAAAAGTTTCACATTTTAGTCAAACTGAAATGTTCCCTTCCTGATTTAATATTTTTTTACGCAGAAAATCTAACAAATTAGAAATAAAATAATCAAAGTTTTCTGATGAAAATATGGTTTCAATTTTCATTGAAATTTACCTAGTATACATGGAAGAGTCAGGGAATATTTTTTTCTGAAATTGAGTGGGATCCTTGTATCTAACCAAACACATGCTACGTATTTGTAGAGCTCTTTTTTCCTCAGGAAAACAATCATAATAGCAATCCAAGGGAGTGTTCCGTTGCAAATCAAAATGGGTAATTAAGCCCAGGGTTTATCATTTTTACAGGAATACAACAACAAATTTTAAAAGGCAGAGGGAGAGAATCTTAGAACTTCTGCTTTTTTGAAAGTTTATTGTGAAACTATTATTTTTCAATAGGTTGAATTTGTGAAGGTACCGCTAAACGGTAGTAAATTTTCCCTACACAGACACCTGCATTAGAAATATTTATGTCACTTGACTTATAAGATTGGAAAACCAATTAGAAGAGTACATTTATTATTTGAATAATTATTCTGATTTATTATGTTGCTGCTCTCCCTTACTTAGAATCATCTAAAATGTGTCTTTATAGATCTGTAAAGATAGTGGGGCTGCTATATCTACAAGAGGGAGGTATATGACCCCTGAAGAACGTCAAAATATTGCTACCCCTGAGTATGTATACTTAATTATGAAATTTTGTATAAATAGTTTTTATTGCTCTTTCATGATCTGATTGTTTTTTTATTCAGGTGTCGTCCTTTATATTTAAATCTACAAGCTTCAGACTATCGTGCTGTTAAAAGTGAGTAGACTATTGTTTGATTATGTTTGTGGTGCATAGTGTTTTTAAAAAGTGATTGTATTTGATTTTTGTTTCCTAAAAGCCCTTTACCGTATTGATTTTCGGCACGTATCGTGCAAAAGCGTGGTTTTCACATTGTTCTCTTCTACATTTTTACAATTCATTCAAACACTGCATTTCGTCTTGACGGCGATCCGTAGCATACGAAAACGCCTATTGATAACGTACGTTTGATGAAATACTTGTGGCTCCACAAAAGCCGTATACTGTGCTGGGTTCTGTGAGATTCTAACAGTCTCATCTGCAACTCCGCTGCATTTTGCAAGATATTCTCCAACATTTCTGGCTTCATTTTCCACCCTCTGAAATTGTACCGAAAAATCTCTGTATCTTCTTACGGTATCTAATATAATCAAGAAAAAGAGTTCTTTGTCAGAAAGTAGTTATTTTATCATGATCATGATAAAATAACTTTTAAAATTATTTTACATTTTGTTATTGTATATAGTGCTTGAAAGGTGGTTGTTTTTTTTGTAGATAGATTTGGCTATGCATCCTGATATTGTACGCAGATAACAACTTAATTATAACTGCATATTTAGGATTAATTAATTGTATGGGGCTTGAAATCCACTCTAATGATTATGACCCTTTTCAGATCTTGAAAAGTCAGTGCACAATTGGGCTGTTGGGGAGCGTGGTGCAAAAGCTAGGAGATAACTGCCAGCCTATGACCGCCTCCTCTTAGTTATGGTGGTGTAGTGTACACGTGCACCACTATTGTCTTTGGATCATTATTAAGGTTAAATCCCACACAGTCATTAGTTGTGGGAAGTTAACAGCTGAACCGAAAGAAAAAAATCACCTTCCGAAAGAAAACCAGTTATGACCTAGATCAGTGTTCCCCAATCCTCAGACCGGTAACGGTCCGGGGATCAAATGATACCGGGCTGCCCATTTCATTGAAACTGAATTTAAATTCCTAGGTTTATACCGCAAATTAAAAATATCTGTGTTCCATTAAAATTTTGGCAGTAACAGCAACCAAAACATAGCAACAGAATAAACTGGACATAAGCAACACACTTTCAGTGTCATTGTCTCCGATGACCCCCAGATGGAACCGTCTCATTACAAGGAAACAAGCTCAGGGTTCTCATTGATGTAATGTTCTAGTAATTTAAAACGTTAAATCACTTTATATTTATTTTTTGATGTAACAGTATTTTATTTTGAATTCTTGTTTAAATACAATTAAATTGAAATTTATAAATCAAAATAATCTAAAATATGAACAATCAACNTAAATTCCTAGGTTTATACCGCAAATTAAAAATATCTGTGTTCCATTAAAATTTTGGCAGTAACAGCAACCAAAACATAGCAACAGAATAAACTGGACATAAGCAACACACTTTCAGTGTCATTGTCTCCGATGACCCCCAGATGGAACCGTCTCATTACAAGGAAACAAGCTCAGGGTTCTCATTGATGTAACGTTCTAGTAAGTTAAAACGTTAAATCACTTTATATTTATTTTTTGGTGTAACAGTATTTTATTTTGAAGGCTTGTTTAAATGCAATTAAATTAAAATTTATAAATCAAAATAATCTAAAATATAAACAATCAACGTCCCCTCCCCTATCTGGCCACGGTAAAATTATCAAACGTTGACAGATGATAAAAAGGTTGGGGAACACAGACCTAGATCATAAACTTGACTGTCACTTGAAAGTTTATTAAATTTTATCGAAATAAAACTACATTAAATTATTTTAAAAAGGCACTTTAGCTTTGATCTAATTAAGGGTGTGGGGAGTGGATGGTTATCGACCCTGTCGACCTTCGTCTACGTAAAGGTACCCCGTCATAGAATCGAGTTAACGTGTCTTATGTGCTAGTGAATTGGAATTGTATTCTTGTAGTGGTAGACACACTACAAGGCATTAGTTTTGATTCCTCAGTCTGGCTGCTGTTATTTATAATATTGATCTTCCACTACATTGTTCAATAGTAAGTGTTTGTTTTTTTTTCTGTTAATGATCCTATACAAAGTTGTTTGTTGCTTATATTGCTCAAAAAGCTAATCACACACTTGGTTTCCTCTGTAACAAACTAACTAATTTAGGAGAAAATTTTATGTCAACAGTTTTGTCTTTTACTTAAGAGAGTTTTATTTTATTTTCAGTTGCTGTAAGAAAAATCTTGGAAATTATTGATCACCATGTAACTCTTTCTGGTAAACCTAAAAGTCCAACTGTAGGTGTTGTTACATATCCTTCTACTGGTGCTAACGGTATTGTCAACGCTGTACCCAATCATCAAAATAGCCACATCCCCTCAGGGGTAAGCGGCATTTGTTTTATTAAGGTTAAATTAAAAATTATTCTGCTGATTTTGGTAGGAAGTAGCATCGGCATGAAATTAAATAGGTAAATAATATTGCCTGTACAGGGGTCTGTCCAACATTTTGTGAAAGGTCCTGTTTTTGCAAAATTGTGAAAAAACTACCCTGCCCATAATTTGTAAATCTAAAATAAATGTGAAGTCACATTCTTTCAACCAGGGTTTTGCTTTGGTGAATTTGTGCAAATAGGATCCTGTCATTGCAAAAAACACTTTTCAAGGAGTTTTTAAATTATAAATAGATACAATATTATACTCAGCACTATAAAATTGTAATAAAAAAAATTTTATTTTCAAAAAGAAATGCTAATTGCTGCCTCTAAATTAGAAATGAAACAGACTAATATTCTGTATTTAGCCTATACTGCTCAAATGACGAATATTTGTCTTGAACGAATATTGAAAACAAAATCACTTAAATTTTTAATTATTTCAATTGATATATTTTAACTAAATTTTAATATTTTAACAGCTAATGGATGTTTTTACACACTTCAACACTTTTAATGTGTTCATATTAAGTAAATTTATAACATTTATTTTTAAAGAAATTGGTATAAAATAGTTCTTTTTTTTTAATAATATTTTATTAATAAATTTTATGAATAAATATAAATTATTTATTTACTAAAAAAATTACTTATCTTATGTAATATTAATAAAAATGTACTGAGTGAAAAAAAAAACGGAACACCCTGAATAACTTTTGATCGTATCTTTAGGTTCTAGAACTTAATCTTAATGACTTGAGGGGGTTAACTCAAATATGCAATTAATAAGTGCAGACTATATTTTCAGTTAAAAAGTCAAACACAAAAAAGGAACTTTCTCTGAATGAACATACCCTTTTTTTTTTCCCCGACGGTTTCGGATTTCTGACCCCCCACCCTTCCTCAAAAAGTCGTATTGTTAAAATTCGACTTCTCAGGATCTATTCGACCAATTTTGATCAAATTTTCTGTATTACCATGTAACGAATTTTAGAATTATATGCAAAAAATTTTCACTTCGCATGGTTAAAAAGTTCTCAAGATATAGTGAAATAGACAAGAAGTAAAATTAACATTAGGGGATCCAAACTTTAGAACGCTCTCCTAACGAAACTATTGAGACCATATTTGCCAGATTGCAGATTAGAATTTATAAATTTACTATTTGAGTATAAAGGAGTTAAGCTACTAAATAAAAGACAATAGCAAGAAAGATAAATTTGCAAAATCAGGGAAATAAATAAAATGTGATGGGACGAGCATTGCCTGTTCTGCTACATGCTGAGTCAGAGTGCCGATGACTGAAGTCATCCGCTTCCGCATGGTCTTGAAGAGAGGAAATGTCGGCGGAGGAGGAGAAATGGTGGGGAGAGAGGGAAGAAGGGTGCGGGCAGAGACTTCACAAAAACTTAGTGGTTCTTTTAGATCCGTCTTCCTTTTTTTATTATTATTTTCGATCTACAAAACATTAATCATGAAGATAAACAAATTTGGGAACAGTGTGAATAAAAACTAAAATATTTTGTGAAGAGTCCGTTTTTAAGTTAAAATATATCGTCGAGGGTCTGTTTTTATAAAAAAGTATTTTCTGAAGGTTTCATTAATGAACCCAAATTTCTTTTAAACAGACCCCTGCTGTACATCACATACATGGTCACTGTTAGATATATACATATATTATAGCTTTCTATTTAAAAATGTATTCAAAACAAATTATAAGTGTTCAAAACAATATTTGGAAAGTGAAAGAATCTTATATTTCTTGCGATATTTATTTAAATGTGACAATCTAAAATCTCTCGATCGTCTACGAGAAATTAAAAACTTTTTTTTTATTACTGTCTAACTTTTTAATATATGGTTATAGAAAATCTTTATAATGGAAACTAGAGGCTTTGCCATTTATAGTATTTTCTGTTATATAGCTTATTTCACATATCATTAAATAAACTTACCTACCAGTATGGCATTATCTATTTGTATCAGTTTAATATTAATACTATAAAATAGTTTTTTAAGTCAAATAGTTTAGATTATAAAAATGTGCACTTAAGTATTTTTTTTATTTACAAAACAAATTTAAACTATCAAGAACATTTGATCTAAAAACAAGTAAATTTATCAATTTTGATTTGCTTTAGAGATTGGAAAGTTATCAAGAAATTCAGTTTATAGAATTGTTCTGATGACACAATTAACTCTGCTTATGCACTCTAATGCGTCAAATAGAGAGAACGTGGCAACTAAGTTTAGATTTGTTCCGTGTGACACTACTTCTCCAGGGCATGAAAAAAAAAGTTTATGTTGTTAAAATTGTACCCAAACTGTTAATATTTATAAAAATCAAACTAATAAATTTATTTTCATTTTAGACTCATTTTGTTCAAGACAAAGTATTTGTTGGTCTAGAACAAGCTCCTCCTGATTATCCTGTTAGAGACAAAATTTTAGGACCTGCTGTAAGTCTTCATTTCAATTTCCCTGCTTAAGAGTATGTTGTACACATTATGTAATGAAATAACTAGTGCAATTTGCTTGGAAATCAGTGTAGTTGAGTCTTTTTTCCTGATTTTGTAAATTTTAATGGATTTGTTCATTTTCTTTCTAGTTATTGAAGGAAGAAAAATTTTAAAATTTTTCCAGTCATTTTTGGTAATCATCTTCTTCTTAGGCTCATCTATTTTACGCTATATTTCTCCATCTGTTAACTCCCAAATCCTTTAACCATTTCTCTACTCTATCTAACTTACTTATTTTAGATTTTCCTCTTTTTCCCTCTGGTGTTGTTTGGAAGGTTAATTTTTTTAACAGAATTTTCATCGCGACATCAAAATATCTAGCCACCTTGTTTGAGAAAACTTAATAACTTTTACTATGTTGTGTTTTTTTTTTTTATATTATGATTGTAATTCATATTTGTAATGAATTCTCCCGGTTCCATTTTCTCTTACTCTACCAAAAAAATTTTCTTGATATTTTTCTCTCGTCCGTTTCTCTTCGTCTGTCTCGTTTTGATAATTGCCTACAATTCCCTTTCACATAAAAGTTTTCGTCTCACTAGTGTCAACTGTATTTTTGTTTCGAAACTTATGTATTTAGATTTGAACTGGTTTCTCAATCCATGATAATATCTATTAGCCATTTTTGATTTCAATTTTCATATCTTTATTATTATTGATTATTGTGCCTAAATATTTAAATGGAACTGCTTGTTCAAACTCACATTTATTAATTTTCAGTGATTGCTGATTTGTCATTCTGTTTGTTATTGCTGTGAATTTAGTTTTTTAATTGATTTTTGACAATCCTGTTGTATCTTAAATTCCAGTGATGACTGCAAATTTTTGTATAGGATTAATAACATTATTGATAAATAAATAGTAATTATTATCCAGGTTAATTTGATCAAAATTCATTAAGGCCAAAAATCATTTGAATTGCGTTGCGTTAAAATTGAGTTTTAATTTTTAGAAAAAAAATATATATTTTAGTTAATTAGATTATTATAATATTAGCAATCAATCACCCACTAACAACGCAACAGTCTTTGCAGAAATTTGCAACTCATCGAATGCAATACGTTGAACACGCATTGCATCGTCATTTCTGATCCAATAACCTTATAAAGCAATAAATTATTCACCCAGTCAAATGGTCTAATACGTGGTAGAAATGGGTATACGACAAGTATTATTCAAAACAAACAAAATACAAAGGAAAAAAATAATAATAGAATATTAACTGTATATAATTCAGGATGCGTAGTGTTTTTAAAATGTGCTTAAAGGTAATTATTTTCATTTCTTAAAACCCTTAAAGGTGCTTTTTTCTATGGGTGTTTTTAAAAAGTGCTTAATTTTCCCTTTTTCAAAATTATATTTTTCCTTTACCATGTTGATTTTCGCTATGCATTACGCAAAAAGACACAGTTCACATTGTTCTATTCAACGTTTTCACAATTAATTCGACCCTAATCTATTTTAGCGTATTGTCAGTTTGTAGCGTACGAAAACGCCATTCATTTTACATGATTTAAAATCTCATGATTTTTGACAATTGTCAAAAACAATGCCTAAAGTTTTTTTTTTTAGCATGACAGTAAAACAAAATAAACCGTCAATTGTCAATAACTTACCAACCCTGCCTGATTATGATATTTTTTTAAAGTGCTTATTTTTTGTTGAATAATTTGGCTATGCACCCTGATAATTGTTAGAAAAAGTCAGGAAGTCAAATGTGCAAAAACGATAAGATGATAAACATATTTTCGATGCAAAAGTTCTTAAACGGTCATTTGACCGGCTATGGTATGTTTAGTGTTGAAAATATTTTTTGAGCGCTTAAGAAGTACTCAGAAGGTGCTTATTTTTTGTTGAAATATTTGGCTAGGCACCCTGAATAAGTAAATTTGAGTTGTCTAAATGTGTATTTGATATATTTTAATGATTTTACAAATGAAGAAAGTTAATGTATTAAAATCTACAGGGCTCATTCCTTCAGCACATTAGAACAGAAACAGGAGCTACTGTGACACTTCGTGGCAAAGGCTCAGGCTTCATCGAGCCTACTTCAGGTCGAGAAGCATTTGAACCCCTCTACATTCACATAACGTAAGATATGTTGTTTCATTGCAGTATTTTGGTATATTTGAAAAGGTGCTGCACTATTAAATTCAGGGTGGCCACCCACCTGGAAAACCTGGAATTATCAGGGAATTTTTTTATACTGGAAAAAACCTGGAAATATTTATAAATAAAATATCAC